CCCCTTCTGTACGACTAATGCATATTCATTAATATATTTGCATGTTTTTTAAACTATAGCTACAAACCAAAACTAGTGAATAAGTATTGTTATTCTAATTGAAACATTCAAATACCTGATCATATATTTGCAAACGTTTCTAAAAGGTGATGTTGCTTATTAACTGTAACATAAAATTACTGTCAATTGTATACAGCTCGAAAACATGCTACAGGGAGGGAGGGACGGCAACAGCTTGATTTTGAGAACCAGAGAAAGTTTCCTAAAGAAGTTTAAACTTTGTTTAATTAACTTATTAGAATCTAGGAATTGTGATCTTGCCAACAAATTAATAAACTTTTTGTGATGGAATGATAAAAAACTGTTTAAATTTGATCATTGAAGAATGAAATCTTTGATAGATAGATAGATAGATAGATGTATTCCCAATGTTGGAAAACAAATATGTAGATATAATTCTTCGTTGACTCCTAAAAGCAGGAATATTGGTCTGCGGCTATTTATATTCGTCCAAATTTAGTGTGGACTTTTCTCATACATACCATCTGCTGACGAGAGCGAAAAGGGCGTTTAACCTTAAGAAAGGTTCTGCGAGGGCAGCATTATGCCTCTCTACGTCTTTAACGCTTTGCAGATTATTTTCATCTTGGGTAAACAAGGTGTCTACTTTCATTCATATAGTATTCAGCTGCACATTTTGTGTACAGTTACAGATAAAAAAAATCACCCCTGAGAAACGTTTGCATGTTCGTGACAAGAATTTGCATATTGAATTAAAATTACAAAGAACCATCCTCTCTCCCGCCTCCGTCAAAAACCACGTGCGTTTTTTCATTTGTGTGTAGTTCATTCATTGATCAGGCGTATTCAGGCGCTTCTTTCTCAATGTTCTAAAGCACGATTGAACACATACTTTCTTTTCTACCTTCTTCTATACTTTAAAACTCTTATTTCATGAAGTCATAAATCAAACTTTCTCATCTCATCTCTTCATTCACCAATCATCTTTTTCATTCCATTCTTCTTTCAATCCATCCTGGCCTTAATTTTCTTCCATTATTGTTTATCTTCCTCTCTTTTCATCAGTGGCATATTTCAGGGGGAGGTACACAGCTAGTGTGTGCCCCACTCCTTTTTTTTCTTTCTAAGTCTTCAAAGACTAGTTTACAAATAAGAACTGTTATGGTGATTAAAATATTCAAATTTATGCTGACGTATATCCCAACGTTTCCGAGTGTAAACTTTTTTTAGTAACTGTACACAAAATATACAACTGGATACCATATAAACATAGGTTCGCCTTTGAGATGATATATGATAAAAATTCTGCTCATATCTATAGAGCTGGAGAGGCATGAGATCAAAGTAATTTGAAGTTTCTTTGCGCTTTCTGACATTGATTGCCAACTCGGTTCTCAATATGAATACATGAATGTAGATGATTATACCACTCTGTAGAGTAGTATACACGCAAGAGGTTGGATCAGTAATAACACAGACGGCGTCTACATATGTATTTAAATCCATTCTCTCTCATTGATCACATACCATAAATCGAAAGTTTGTCATATTTAAATTTCAAACTATCTATCCTAACTATCATATCAATTGAAAGAATTGAAAGTTTGTCAAATCGAACTTTCCAAAACTAACCAGAGCCATCCCACCCACCAATGGCACTTTTCTCCGGGTAATGTAGAAGTTAAACTATTTTCTTGTAACAGTTACTAAAAGAACCCACCCCTTCTGTACGACTAATGCATATTCATTTAATGCATTTGCATGTTTTTTTAAACTATAGCTACAACCAAAACTAGTGAATAAGTATTGTTATTCTAATTGAAACATTCAAATTCCTGATCAGGTATTTGCAAACGTTTCTAAAAGGTGATATTGCTTATTAACTGTTACAGAAAATTGCTGTCAGTTGTATAGGGTCGAAAAACATGCTACAGGGAGGGAGGGACGGCAACAGCTTGATTTTGAGAACCAGAGAAAGTTTCCTAAAGAAGTTTAAACTTTGTTAAATTAACTTATTAGAATCTAGGAATTGTGATCTTGCCAACAAATTAATAAACTTTTTGTGATGGAATGATAATCAAAACTGTTTAAATTTGATCATTGAAGAATGAAATCATTGATAGATATAGATAAGACTATTCCCAATGTGGCAAAAGACATATGTAGATATATCATATTCCAAAATAATTTATGTTCTCCGTCGACTCCTAAAAGCAGGTATATCTGCGGCTATTTATATTCGTCCGAATTTAGTGTGGACTTTTCTCATACATATCATCTGCTGTGAGCGAAAAGGGCGTTTAACCTAAAGAAAGGTTCTGTGAGGGCACACCTCTCTACGTCTTTTACGCTTTGCAGATTATTTTCATCTTGGGAAAACAAGGTGTCTACTTTCAATCATATAGTATTCAGGTGCACATTTTGTGTACAGTTACAGAAAAAAAGATTCACCCCAGAGAAACGTTTCCATATTCCTGACAAGAATTTGCATATTGAATTAAAATTACAAAGAAACATCCTCTCTCCCATCTTCACCTTGAACCACGTCCGTTTTCCGTTCGTGTGTAGTTCATTCATTGATCAGGCGTATTCAGGCGTTTCTTTCTCATTGTTAAAAGCACGATATTCAAATTTATGCTGACGTATATCCCAACGTTTCCGAGAGTAAACTTTTTTTAGTAACTGTACACAAAATATACAACTGGATACCATATAAACATTGGTTCACCTTTGAGATGATGTATGATAAAAATTCTGCTCATATCTGTAGAGCTAAAGAGGCATGAGATCAAAGTAATTTGAAGTTTCTTTGCGCTTTCTGACATTGATTGCCAACTCGGTTCTCAATATGAGATAGAGGAAATGATTCCTCTGGAAAGTGGTATATACATGAATGTAGATGATTATACCACTCTGAAGAGTAATATACACGCATGAGGTTGGATCAGTAATAACACAGACGGCGTCTACATATGAATTCAAATTCATTCTCTCTCATTGATCACATACCAAGAATTGAAAATTTGTCATATTTAAATTTAAAACTATCTATCCTAACTATCTAAATATCTAACTGTCATATCAATTGAAAGAATTGAAAGTTTGTCAAATCGAACTTTCCAAAACTAACTAGAGCCATCCCACCCACCAATGGCACTTTTCTCCGGGTAATGTAGAATCTAAACCATTTTCTTGTAACAGATACTAAAAGAACCCACCCCTTCTGTACGACTAATGCATATTCATTTAATGCATTTGCATGCTTTTTAAACTGTTGTTACAAACCAAAACTAGTGAATAAGTATTGTTATTCTAATTGAAACATTCAAATTCCTGATCATGTATTTGCAAACGTTTCTAAGAGGTGATGTTGCTTAATAACTGTAACATAAAATTACTGTCAATTGTATACGGCTCGAAAAACATGCTACGGGGAGGGAGGGACGGCAACAGCTTGATTTTGAGAACCAGAGAAAGTTTCCTAAAGAAGTTTAAACTTTGTAAATTAACTAATTAGAATCTAGGAATTGTGATCTTGCCAACAAATTAATAAACTTTTTGTGATGGAATGATATTCAAAACTGTTTAAATTTGATCATTGAAGAATGAAATCATTGATAGATAAGATAGATATATTCCCAATGTTGCAAATCACATCTGTAGATATATCATATTCCAATATATGTTCTTCGTCGACTCCTAAAAGCAGGTATATCTGCGGCTACCCCCGTCCGAATTTAGTGTGAACTTTTCTCATACATATCATCTGCTGAGAGCGAGAAGGGCGTTTAATTAACCTAAAGAAAGGTTCTGCGAGGGCAGCATTATGCCTCTCTACGTCTTTCACGCTTTGCAGATTATTTTCATCTTGGGTAAACAAGGTGTCTACTTTCATTCATATAGTATTCAGCTGCACATTTTGTGTACAGTTACAGAAAAAAAAAATCACCCCTGAGAAACGTTTGCATGTTCGTGACAAGAATTTGCATATTGAATTAAAATTACAAAGAACCATCCTCTCTCCCGCCTCCGTCAAAAACCACGTGCGTTTTTTCATTCGTGTGTAGTTCATTCATTGATCAGGCGTATTCAGGCGTTTCTTTCTCATTGTTAAAAGCCTGATTGAACACATACTTTCTTTTCTACCTTCTTCTATACTTTAAAACTCTTATTTCATGAAGTCATAAATCAAACTTTCTCATCTCATCTCTTCATTCACCAATCATTTTCTTCATTCCATTCTTCTTTCAATCCATCCTGGCCTTAATTTTCTTCCATTATTGTTTATCTTCCTCTCTTTTCATCAGTGGCATATTTCAGGGGGAGGTACACAGCTAGTGTGTGCCCCACTCCTTTTTTCTTTCTAAGTGCTCCCCCCCCCCCCCCCAGGTCATTTTCTAGGAAACCCTGTTTTTTGGTTTAAGGAGCTCCTTAAAGTAGGGCAATATCCTCATTTATATCTTCCATTATATACTGTAACTGCTATTATTACAACTATCATTGATTTCTTTTCTTTTCTTCTCTTCTCTCTCACCTCTGCACTCGCTTTCTATCTTGTTTCTCCATATTTTTCTTCTTCTTCTCCTCCCTCTCCCTCATTCTGTCTGTCTCTTTCTTTCTCTCTCTCTTTCTCTTTCTCTCTCTCTTTCTCTCCCTCTGTCTCTCTCTTTCTCTCTCTCTCTCTCTCTCTCTCTCTCTCTCTCTATATATATATTTCTCCCATTACCTCTCTATAACAGATAATATGTAGCAGCACTCTCTTTAGCATATTGTCCTATGTTTGGGGGACTGCATAATATCTTCCATTTGTTTCTGACTTTAGGAAGCAAAACAAGTTATAAGTCAGATTTTATTCCAACTTCATTCTAAGTAGCTCTCAAACGCATCCTATATACTTCAACATCTTACAGAGTTAACACACAGAACAACAACTTCTCACTACAAATTTTAAAAATAAAAAACTTTTTTAGGGCAAGAGATGTCACTTAAATATGTTTATTAAAACTTTCACAAATTTCATTTGAACTACAACAATGTATAAATCTTTTAATAGTGTAATTATGGTGCATATATACATGTTTACATTATGTACATGGTGACAAACAATACACAAATATATATTTACAAGTTCTCTCCAGTAATTTGTACTTATTAGCTTGCAACTGCTTGCATGAAGACAAAGTGGCTTGGACGGAAATAGAAAATTGAATGCATAGAATATAAATTAAATTTTCTTTCAAAGTTCAGTACTAAACATATGCATTTGAACATCAATTTATCAAAAGATGAATAAGAAATTTGCTTTGCACATTCACAACAGTATTAAATTTGAGGAGGAAACAATTCTTAAACCAGTAGGGAGAAATAGACAGGACGAGTCAAATGTTCTTGATGTATTCTAAAATACACTGCTGAAAGACAATATGAAATTTTGATAGAAAAGTGAAGGTCGAAAGGCTATAAGTTTTAAACCTCATATACAATGGCTGCTCTAAGATATTCTTATAACTCTGATTCTTCCCCTTCCCCTATTTTTGGTTTTGTCGTTCATCTTTTCCTAATTTAAAGTAACTTTATTCGCAAGAAAACTTTCACTACAAAGTGATCACAACCATATACTACTTGTTTAAAACACTGTTATAAGGCATCTGTTATTTTGTGTATTGTTTTGAAAACGCACATAGATCATTATTGGTATCGTAACATCGATCATTTTGTGCTTCCAAGAACCTATGAATAGACACATTAATTTAAACTTGACCAGATTCATATAAGCATTTGAGAGTTATTATCCAGTTGCTGCAAAGGTGGGTCATTCACAGATGCAAAGAAGTAAAAATAATGCTTGACATCAAAATTCATCCTATAAATTGTAACCCCCAAATAATTAATCAATTAATAATAATAATAATAACAAGGTTTATAACGCGCACATATCCACCCCAAGGGATGCTCAAGGCGCCTTAACGAATTTGGAAATTATTACCCCAGCTTTAATGAATAAATAACTTTAAAAAACTGCCATGTTTTTTAAACATGTGTAAATGAATGACAACTGCACGCAACAAAAAAGGTCCTACACATGTTCACTGATCTCTGTGTTATAAGATACAAAAATATTACATGTACATCATCAAAAAAAATACAGTGGTTTAGAGAGTCATATCTGAATGAGTCTTTAATCATGGTACTAATAACACCCCCCTTCCAAAATAAAAGATACCATTCTCTGCATTAAGAGTCAGGTATTTACAAAATACGACTTTAACCCATCCCTCATTCGTTCATCGATTTCAGAAGTCAGAACCACCTTCCACTTAGAACGGACGGGTGCTACCTAGTGTCCTTACCCAGAACTGTGGGTTACCAAAGCCCACTTCCTCCTATGACTTTAACTGATTCCTTATTCATTCATCAACTCCAGAAGTCAGAACCACCTTCCACTTAAATAGGACAAGCATTACTAGCTAACGTCCTTGCAGCTAGAACTGGGGATTACCGAAGCTCACCTTTCCCAAACACCTTTAACTTATTAAACATTAATTTATTCCATCGATTCCAGAAGTCAGAACCACCTTCCACTTAAAAAGGACAGGCGTTACTAGCTAACGTCCTTATACTCAGACCTGGGGGTTACCGAAACCCACCTTCCCCAAACACCTTTTAACTTATTATTTGTTCATTCATTCATCGATTCCAGAAGTCAGAACCACCTTCCACTTTAATAGGACAGGCATTACTAGCCAATGTCCTTACTCAGAACTGGGGGTTACCGAAGCCCACCTCCTCCTGCGTCTTGTGGATCTCCTCCAGAAGACCCTCGTCAGCCAGGCCGACCTTGAGGGCATACTTGTAGGCTTGCTCTGCCTCCTGCTGGCGGGCGGTCCTCAGGCAGACCAGGGACAGGTAGCCCCAGACCTCAGGGTCGCTGTTGTTCAGGATGTTGGCCTCGCAGAGGGCATCTTCCGCCTCTGACAGTTCCCCAAGCTGCAGATCAAAAAGGGACAGAGAGACTAGTTGACAAGATTGCTTTTCTTCCTCATCAATTTTTTTTATTTTAATTTTGATGTTTTTGTTATATTTTTGTTATGTTTTTCCTGTTATGTTATGTTTTTCCTGTTATAATTTGTTACATTTTCTGACAATGTATAATATGTTATGTGTTTACTTGTTAAGGGGTCATTTTCAATAAGCCAAGTAGTGCTTTTCATGATCCCGCCAATATTATTCATATGTATATGTTATTGATTTGTAAATTGTTTTTAAAGTGGAAATAAATTAAATTGGATTGAATTGAAATGAATATAACTGCTACCCGCACAGGATATGTTCATTTCAAATCTCTTTTCTCTTCACTTCTTGTCCTACTTGTACTTGAACTTAATAAAGAAATCGTAGTACTGATTCATAGATGTCTTTATAGTAACAATAATGATACACTGAGACTAATAGACTAATCGATCTTGAGCTACAAACTGACAAGTAATAAATTAGCTTTCCCTGACAGTTTGTTTTATACCTTACATATAGAAATGAAAAACAAACTACAGTTCTAAAATGTTTAGGTGTCCTTTCTAACACAATAAGTTAAAACATTATATACATGGTTTCTAATTAATCTCTTGATAAAATAATTATGTCACTGTTCCTACTAGAGCCTCTTTGAATATAAAGTTGAGTTCTGGTTATGCGATTGCATTGTGAAAGAAATGTTGTGGAATCGATCATAAAAGGTGCTCATGTAGCATATAACTATGTGTACTGCAAGGTTCTGGAATCATCAAAATGATAAGAAATTTGGCCCAGTCCTGGTAGAGTTACAAGCACTGTACACAGAAAGATGTATATGGGACTACACGAACATGATGTTACGTGCCATATTTAGAATATCAAGGCATTTGAAGAGCGCATGCTTTTCAGGGAACATTTTTCATCTGATGTTCTTCCCCACTTGTATAATATAATAATGCTCACGAATTATTTTTCACCTCTTCCCAGAACTCAACCTTCTCTTGAACTCACCCTGAAGCAAGCTATGCCCACACCAAGCCAGGATATACAGGACGGCGAGTTCTTACAGGCAAGCAGGAATGTTACCTTGGATTTATCATACTGTTAATTAAAAGAAGAAAAAAAAAACAGAACATAGACGTCAATCTCCAGCAATGGCTTATCATTGACCTTTACTATATACTCCCCAATGATAGACAAACTTGCTAATTATCATGTGCTAATTATGGTGCAGATAATCCCATTTTAGATCATAGGAATATTGCCATTGAAATCTTTAAGAGTTGATTCAGGTTCATTGAAAATTGCGTTAAACAGCAAAAAAGATCAGAATATCTCAAGGCAAATTACGAATTCAGTGTACTTCATATTCCTTTATATAAAAGTGTTAAGATGAAGGGAGGTATCTATGATTCACAACAATAGTCTTGATACAAAAAATAAAAGTTTTCCTTCAAAACAAGTATTGCTCACAGCCACCGGTAAAGTGGAATCTTGTCCGCGTAATAACCCATTTAAATGCTAGGATTCTGGGGAGAAATATCAATTGATGTGAAGGAATTTCTGGCTTGCACCAAGTAAATAAAAATAGCGTTCTCTATCTTATAATTAAAACAAGTCAGAAAATAGCTTGGAACCAGGAAACCATTTTCCTGGTAGCACACTTATTTGTAATCTGTATTTTCATTGGTACCACATTGCAACAAGGTTCCACAGTACCACAGAAAACACAAGAGAAGATTGTTACCACTTTTTTAAAGTGAATAAGCAACTGCATCAACTATCATTAGGATGAGAGATGGGTTCATTACCTGTCCATCTTGGTACCACATTGCAACAAGGTTCCACAGTACCACAGAAAACCAAGAGAAGATTGTTACCACTTTTTTATAGTGAAAAAGCGACCGCATCAACTATCAGCAGGATGGGAGATGGGTTAGTTACCTGTCCATCTTGTAAATAGATGGATGCTAGACGAAGGTAGATGGCATGCATCTCCCGGGCGTCAGTCACGAAGGAGAGGGTCCTCTCGTAGCAGTCCTTGGCCTCCTCAAAGTTACCCTGGAGGTAGCGAAGATGGCCCAAGAAGGACCAGGCATCAGGGTCCTGGAACAAAATGAAGGATTTGGATTTTAGAGAAAGGTCTACATGACTTCAGGAAGAGAGGAGCTTGGACCTTTCCATGAAAGGATCATTCAGTGCAACTTACTGATTGATAAATAATTGCCTTAATATAAAAATCAAGTAGACTCTGAGTAAATAGGTAACCAAGTGACCTACTGCTGTAAGTCTTATCTGAGGGACGGACTACGTAATATATGATTGAAGGCTACAAAGCAACGTCGGTTTTGAACCCTACACATTCCAGCTCCAATAGGACTACGTAACTCAAGAAACATTGAGGATTTGCAAGACTTATCCCTGTGTTCAAATAATGTGCTAGAATATTTGTGGACATCATGAAGTATCCACTAACTACACAAGTGATTACCATCTCTAAAACATCAATTGAAAAAACTGCAGCAAAAGACACTAGCTTACCAAAATTTTCAGCCTGAATATTTTCGCAAAATGACAGGGACTTGCAATACATATTCACACAAGCATTGCAAATCCAGCTTATTTGGGCCTGCATGTTGTTGAATTGTGTACACCCCTACAATTACAATTATATAAAATCGCAATAATAGCATCCTCATGAAAAAAGCATATAGAGTATGTACCCTGTAAATGAGCTATCTTGGATAATTCTAGACCACTTACTAGTAATAATTAAAATGATAATATTGGATAATATCAGATATTTATATAGCGCACATATCAACCATGCAAGGTGCTCAAGGCACTCCGAATATTACCCAGCTGTGCTAGGCTGACGATTTTGGCGCTCACAGCGTTCAAGGAATTCCTTCCTACTGGTACCTATTTAACACCTGGGTGGAGAGTGGCAAATGTAGATAAGTGTCTTGCCAAAGGACATTAGTATCGCGGCGGGACTCGAACTGCGGACTCTGTGATCCACAGTCTGAAGACTTACCCACTAGACCAAAACACCTCTACAGAAGAAAACAGAAATATTACCTGATAGTTTAGGACCAGTGCTTGGTTGAGGCTCTCGTTGGCTTCCTCCAAGGCTTTCTTCTGTAGCTTGAGTCTGGCCAGGGCTACGTGATAGGCCGTAGTGGGTCCACCCATCAGGTCCAGCAACTCATGGGCCAGGGCACGCTCACAGAACTAGCAACAAGTCCAGAGTGAATGGGAAGGGGAAGTTTTAGTAGAGGGTCAAATCATTTTTTTAGAATAATCTCCTTTTTTTTAAAGAATCTCATTGTTTAGGAACCAATATGCATGGACAGTTTTAAATTGGTAAAATTGAGAGATTTGGATGGATCTTAAAAAAGAAGGATGTCTTATATACCATTCAATATTTGGAAAATGAATATGGGAAATGAAGATTGTCTTAATCATTTAAATAATGCATACAACTTGTTGAGAGGAATGATATTTTCATCATTTCAGAATTCCATCATAAATGCATAAAATTCATGTTTGTTGATCTCACAGAGATTTCTCAGAAGGGAGAGAACAATGGAATTAATTCAGAAGAAAATTGTTTAAAATAACTGATTATTAGCTCTAAACAATGTACGTTAGTTTGGCCATTTTACTTTTTTTCTTCCTTACCGTATTTGAAATTTAAATTACCGGTAGTCATGTGTTTGAGTAGAGTTCATTATTAAATAAATTTCTAATGTCAAAAATAAAAATATAAAGAGAGCTAGATATCAAACTGCTTCATCCTCCTACCTGCATGCCTTTGACCTCCAGCAAGAACTCCACGGCAAGCATGAAGATGGTGGTCTCCGGTACCGGAGGACTTTCCTTCTGGGCAACCGCGCCTTCCTCCTCCCCTTCCGCTTGTGGTTCAGCAGCCACCCCAGAGCCCGGCCGACTGACGGCCTTGATGCTGCCCGCTCGCTGGCTGGTGGCGCTGGTCGTTCGCTTGGCCTGCTGCGGATCTAAGAGAGTGCGACGACGATGGTGATTATGACGATGGGGATGAACTTTGATATATTCATTCACTTAATTATAAATGGATTAAAATTTGGTGGGATTTGATATGGCGATGAAAAAGATAAGAAAAAAAGCAATTGCAGATAATTGGCAGTTGTTTAGAGACAGTTTTTAAGTTATTGTACTTTTTTTGTTTCAACTTGTTCAAACATAATTACAGATGATTATGAATTTATAGAAAGGATTACAAAGTACAGGTTGTACTTTATGAATCTCAAATGATGATATGGACAGATGTTAGTGTCATGATCACCGATGACATTATGAAAATGTGTATTTTTGTAATGATCGAGTTTACATGACAATGAAATTGCTTGTTGACCTTGACATCGATAAGACAGTGTCCTATAAACCGTCCCTGTATGTACTAAAATATCACATCACTATTGCATTTTTAAGAAGACAAAATCAGGATTTGCTTTATTAAAAGAGGCCAGACAAAAACAAACTACCAATTGGAAATGTTTATGTGTCAATACCGGTTTCCTGAAGGCGATAGGTATAACTTATCGATAGAGATACAGCATGAGTGGGCCTTTATCAGAGCCAACTAATCCTGCTAAGAATATGTGATGTTACAGCAGATAATAAAGTTTTAGTGGAAATATATGAGACTTTGTATCATGTACATAGTCAGAATTGTAAAGCTTTCAAATTTCTGATTTCTCTTTGCTTATTATTCAGCTTATAATATTTTCACCAATGTCTTTAGACACTTAACCATTTCTTTGTAGTCTTAATAAAGAGCTAGGTGTAAATTTTCTGTGATTTTGTCTGCATTTTTTAGTACTTCCAGTAATACTAGAGGCACAAATAAATAGTTTTTAAATATTTATATGATAATACAAAAGAAAACTGTCAAGTGCTAGATTCTGCACAGCTTAGGTTTTTTTTTTTTTTTTTTTTTACTGATTAGAATTTCACACAGTGTTTTATTAATACACACACTTTAACGATAAGTAAACCACATTCATATTATGAGGAGGGTAATAAAGAGGGAAACTATTCTATTTTGTTGATGGGACAGGGAGAGGGGAGGGGGAGGGAGGGGGAGGGGGAGGGGGAGGGAGAGGGGGAGGAGGTGGGGTAGGAGGTGGGGGAGGGGGGATGTTAGAAATGCATTTCCCATCATCACATTCATATTCATCTTCATATTTAAGGTGGTAGAGTACAATATCAGGTTTATATCATGCTTCTGTCAGTACGCAATGCATATATACTACATTTCCCTTTCCCCCCTCTTGTATTGATTAAATTATTCTCCAAGAGAACATTTATGCAATCTGATGAATACATCCATAGTAGCTTGACACAAAGAAAGTAGTGAATAATCAACTCATCATTTTTGTATCTGTAAATTAGACGATATACATAATTGCTTGCCCTCTTTGACCATTTACTCTGGTTTTCCAAAAATACATAAATAAAGGTAAGCATTTCATGATTATCTCTACAAAAGTAAGGTACGTGCTTGATAGGTAAGTGCAGTCTAGTAATTGTCAAAATTTCACCCAAAAAATCTGATGTGCTAGATGGAAAGTTGTTAAGTCAGCAGATAGTGCTGTATAATTGATTTTTTTTTTGTCAGCACTACCGGTAGCTATACTTCAATTATTGCAATTTTAAAAAAATGTATACAATGTGATATTAGCCCCTCTATTAAAGATTCAGCAAGTTAAATATTATTGCAATCCATTCTAATATAGATTTCAGTCGATCGTTTTGAAAATGGCTGGTTTTCAAATGATTGAGATTAAAAGATTGGTTATCAAAAGGGGCTTTGTTAGATTGATTATTAAAAAAACACACCTTGATTGAATCCTGTGATTTAGGGTAGCTTAGCAAAATGTAGTAGCACGTAAAAAACATGTCTGGAATCATATTTATTAATTAAAAGTCCTTTGTTTACATGCCGGTATCTGAATGAAAGTTTATCACTTTAGTTAACAGAAAGCCATATCAAGATGGTATATGCATTTACTAGCTCCATATCCTGATGATGTGCTTCTTCCTCTATGGGAGGAATTAATGATTTTCAACATTTATGTAGTTTGCGTTCCAGATGCATGTTTTCGTGCCACTACATTTCGATAAGCTCCTGAATATGCATATAGCATAGCTTGGTTAATTTCAGTTTCTATGCTGATTTGCATTTGTTAATATGCAGCACACAAAACCTTTACATATTATTTTCGGGATAAATATCAATATCCTTTGCTTTATTATGATTATCAAAGCAAACAAAACAACAAGTTACCTTTCTGGCCAATTTGATTAAGAGACTGCAATGAGTCTAAGCAAGTAGAAAAAATGTGATCAAACATCATTAAAAAGAACAAAACACAAGCAACACATTAAAAAATAAAATAAAATATTAAAAATAATAATTAAAAAGAGAACTGCCCATCTGTTAACAATTATCTGTTGATACCTGAAGTGACAAATGCGCACTACATAACAACAGGATCACGAAACAAAAACAAACAAATAAACAAACAAACTCTGTAAAAATGTTCAATTTGTTTACATTTAAGCTTAATTATTGTGAGGCATAAGCTCATGAACATTTGTAATGTAATGTAATGTTAGAGAAATGGAATATCATTAAATTCATCAAACAAATATGTACTTAATACATGGATTTGGATATTCAAGAATTTAAACATTGGTTGTAAGATGGATTACTAATTCATTTCTTTGAAAGGGTGATAGAATCATTTTGATAGTTCCAAACTTGATCGTACTAAAGACAATTCTCCAACATTCTTTCACTAGTTATACTTTTCAATGCGAAAAAGATTTAATTCTTAAATTTTCATCTAAGAGCAATTATGATAGTATACCATCCGACTTTACAATGGTCGCATCAACCTGTTCGAAAATTTCATCTAATCTGTGTCATGCTCAAATATAGCAAATACGCTAGACAGTTCAGTAACCGCCCATTTATGATTAAAAACATATGAATTGCAATGTTCATCAGTCAAGCATATATAAATTGCAAACTTGATTTAAAAACAAATCCACTCAGGTTAGAATCACCTTTTTTCGAGAGTTTTAGAAAAAATAATTTACCTTTGGATGAGATGGACATCCTCTTCTTCTGAGCAGCGGCCGGAGGAGCAGGCTTGACCGCTGGAGATTTGGTCTTAGAAACGTCGGTCGGAGTAGCCGGGATTTTATTGACCGTTGGGACAGTGCTTCCTGTGTTTATAATAATAATGTATTACAAAACAATAAAACAAAGGTTACACAAATACCGCCACCATCTTCACCACCACCACAATTACCATCACCATCACCACCATCACCACCACCACCATCACCATCACAATCACCATCACCACCACCGACAACACAACTCCATGTACATGTAAATTCATATTGTGCTATCCATGATGCTCCAGGCATCTACAATAATCTATTACCAAATCTTTAGCAAAGCTATGTGAAGGCACTGAATGACACTGAACGCATTTAAGGAATAATTTCTACCTTTTTCACTGGACATTCAAGGAATAATTTCTACCTTTTTCACTGGACATATCTTCTCCGTTCTTCGATCCATCACCCTCCCCAAGGGCGGACTGTTGGTCGTCCCCCTCCCCTGGGGGCGAGGCTTCCCCCTCCTCCTCCTCCTCCTCAATGACAGTGCCTGCAGCAGCAGCTGCAGAGGCTGCCACCTTACACTCTCTCTGCTTGGCAGCAGCATGAGCCATGTTGAGACGTCGCGCCTCCATGAAGGCATACTCAGCCTGGATGTCGCAGTCAATGCCATCATAGTAGAGACCTGGAATTGATTCAAGGAATTGATTCAAGGAATTGATTCAAGGAATCAATTCAAAATTGATTCAAATTGATTCAAATTGATTCAAAATTGTTTCAAAATCAAGGCCATGTATAAAAATGTGCAATCCATATCTTTAAAAAATTAATTCAACTACCTAAATATACAAGTCTCTAACATGAATTGTTGAGCCTATATAACATAGATGCTTTTCCTTTTATTACATCAAACAGATACCTGTATTTCAAATTTAATTAGGTCCATTTTTATGTGCCTTGCGTCCTGCTTTATAATTATATTATGATACAGAACACTGACCTTGTGAATAGACTTTTGAGAAAATATTCAAAATTCTGTTTAAAAACAAAACAAAACAACAACAACAGGAGGGGTTAATCACAATTTAAATGGGTACCTGGTAGGGATTTATTCCTTGAAATGCTAGAGCGCCGTACGGCAGCCGTGCTAAAGCCAGGGCAATAATCAGGAGTGCCAGGAGCATTAAATCTGACTGACATGAGCGCTATACAAGAACCCATTATCATTATTATTATTATTATCCTTGAGTACCTGACAAGATTCATTTCTTGGGATATGCTATGCCCAGAAAAGGTCTGCCAGAGGTATTAAGAGCATTGTATAATATACAAATAATGAATGGTTATGAGTTCAATAGTGCGAATATGTTCATGAGTTGAAAGATTAACATTCTATTCAACGAGGCGTCAGCCGAGTTGAATAGAATTAACGTTAATCTTTCAACGAATGAACATATTTGCACTATTAAACGAATGAAAAACATTCATTATTTGTTTTATACAACATCGAAGAAGACCTAATAGAACGTTAATCAACAAATTATGCTTTACTCCTAATAAAGATAAATTAAAGTTCGAGTCAAGCCTTCTCGATTACATGCAGATTGCCTTCGCGTCAGATACACGCAGGGATACACGCACATGCAGCAGAGAGGTACGCAGTCTGCACATAACCAAATATGAACGGCGCATATAACCAAAAATGCACGACCGTGCAATATACCATCTATTGAATATCATGTGACCAACAATCGTCCAATCAAATGACAAGGATCCACGTAGGTGTTGTATAAAATGGAATATTGTATTATCATATTCACTATTACATTGTACAAATGGAATAAGGTATCATTATTAATACTATTACAAGAACAAGATGAGACAGAAAGCATATTCTACTAATTCAGTTAAACCAGATACTGTGTGTAAGATGCCATTGAACAAAGGGAAATGTTACACCTTAGACCATCTTCCTTTTAAAACCTGATTTTGGACAAAAGCTTAAAGGTAATACAAAGTTATGGTATTGGGGTCATGATTTTGATTCAAATGAACATATTGGAAGCATATGCGATCCTACAATATTCAATGATTGTTGTCGCAGTTGAAATGGAGTCTACAGTGATAAAATTGTGAATAATAAACTCATGTTGTATAGCTCCCTCTCAAGATTGAAATTACTTTAGCTTCAAAACAACGTTTCTTCACTAAACTCAACCGATTTTCTATTTCCGTTTGGAAATTATATATCAGAACTGCATATTCCGAGATATTCATGGTCGCAGCTACCATAGTATGGCCATAGGCGCTAAATGAAATTCATCAGGAGCACCGATAAATTTGATATTTTAATTTTTAAAGTTGCTTATTACACTAGGTTTCACAATGGTTAAATCTCATAATCCAATCCTGTTGAAATATTACCCAAACTTTGTATTACCTTTAAACCCAGTGTCAAATTTAGATTTATTTTTAACAATACAGGCCTGTGTGTTTACTCACCTAGCATGATCCAGGCCAAGATACTAGAGGGATCCACACAGGTAGCAGCCTCGAAGAAAGTCTCTGCTGCTTCGTTGCCTTCCTCCATAGCACACACCACCCCGTAGAGCAGCAGACCGTGGAGATGCTGCTGGTTGATAGAGATGGTCTCCTTGAAGCACTCCTCAGCCTGGAGAATGATGGAGAGAAGGAGAGATTAACTTTTATGTTTTGGCGGTAGATTTTTTATATCGTGCTATAGTGGCAAAGATACTAGGGGTATGGGAGTACTTGTTCTCTGCCCCCCCCCCCCTCCTACTCTATCGAATCACAAAACAAATTTTCTTTTAAAGACCAAACTAAAAACAAATAAAAAGGAAAAGGAAGGAAAAAGAAAGAAAAACTAACGAGAGGGGAAAGGGAATGTGATTATAAGCTGATAGGACCCCTCCAAAACACTCTACCCAACTCAATCCACATTCATTGTCATGCTGATTTCTAGCCATCGGTCAATGCTTGTTTATTAAATATCTCAAAAAGATTCATGATTTGTGATAAAGTATAAACAATTAATAATAAAATATATAATGAAATAATAAAATATATACAATGAGTGAGGCCTTGAGTTGCTCCTAAAACAGGAGTAATTCTTGCTAGCTCCATGTTTTAAGTATATCATCCTCTTTTTTACCCTACTGACTGTATTTCAGCTCCATAAATTTCCATCTTCTTCAAAACTTTTGAGACTGAATTCAAATTCCCTCCCCTGAAGGTCAAAACTGTATGAAGGACATTTGGCCTTTATACAGAAGTGATCACTATGTAACAGGTCGACCACAATTACAATGATAACGGTAACATACCTTTGCAATATCATTGATGTACAGACAGAAGGATCCATAGTCAAACCAATGGTCAGCATCATTCCTGTTCCTTGCAATGCGCTGAAAGAGATGAAAAATTGTCAATATTACAATTATGTTATCGGGCACTTTGCTATTATTCAAGGTTTTTCAATATCTTCAGTAGATCTGAAGTTGTTTCAAAATTTCTCAATAAAATATCTTGCCCATACTCTTTCATCCCTTTATCTTGATCTTCAATAGTCTTTAGGTTTAAACAAATCCCACACTTTTCAATCGACAACCTTTGACCTCTTCACTTATTACACTATATGAATTTTTGCATTACATCTACATATTAATAATACAAATGTACAAACTTACTGAGAGATCTATGACCTGCTTTTACCTTTGAAGCAAAGCTTGTTTGTGACCTGTGACCAACCACCTTCCAAATTAGTCCATTATTCATATCCAATTTTTGATAATAAATACATATATGTTTTTTCTGTTTTGGGAAATTTTGAAAATTGAATGGATAGTAATTCTTTAAAATTTTGATATATTTGGATGCCCCTGAGAATGTATTATAAGCACTAGAAAATTTAGCCCCTAAAACCCTTCTGCTTCCGAGGAATTGAATAATCAAATATTTACCGGTGCTCCCGGTCGATTGTAGTCAAGAAACATAGTTTTAAATCTAAAGAAATATCAGTCTTGAGAGGGAGCTATATAACATAAAGAGTTTATTATCTACAACTTCATCACTTTAGACTCGATTTCAATCGCGACAACGATCATTGAATATTGTAAAATCGGATATACTTCCAATATGTTCTTTTGAACCAAATTCATGACCCCATACCAAACCTTTTGTATCACCTTTAATACAAACATATTTAAAAACTCCATACCTCCTGATAATATTTTGATGCCAGTTCAAAGTTCTCATTGACCTCTGCCTCTCTGGCAAAGTGCTTGAGCTGGGCGGAGTCGGTGAGAGGGGCGGGGACAGGGGTCTCGTCCTCCAGCGATAGCACCTTCCCGACCCCAACATGCATCTGGTCCACCAGGAAGACGTAGAGCTCACTCAGGAATGCCTGAATGTAAGATGTAAATAATAATAATAATAATAATATTCATTTGTAAAGCGCAATAACTATGTAGATATATTCTACTATGCTGCAAGAGCTCGTAAATGCTGTGCTATACATACTATATGAACAAGTGAGTTTTCAGTTTTGATTTGAAATTATCTAGTGATGTGGCTTTCCTTATTTCTAGTGGTAATTTATTCCATAATCTAGGGGCAGCACAGAGAAATGACCGGTCCCGATGGTTACTTTGGTTTTATATGGGGGTATTTGCAACATAAATGTGTCTTGTGTACTACGAAAGTTACGACCATGAGTTTGAGACTTGATATGCAACAATTCAGTAACGTAACTAGGAGTTTGACCATTTAGAGCTTTGTAGACTATCATTAATAGTTTAAACATAATTCTCTGGCGATTGGCAACCAGTGTAGTTCCTTTACAAGTGGGGTTATTCGAGAGAATTTTGGGAGGCTGCAAATTAGTCGTGCACATGTATTTTGGACCCGCTGCAACTTGGCAATTTGTGAGTCTGGCAATCCATACAATAAACTGTTACAGTAATCTAGTTTACTTGTAACACATGCATGCATGATAGTTTTCATGCTGTCCTGATCAAAGTATTTTCGAATGCGTCTCAAATTATAAATCATGAAAAAGGCCGATTTGCATGAGAGAGTAAAAGATGAGGACTGCATCATTGTGATCACTAGGTATAAAATTTCTGTCACACGACACTGATCATGGATCATGATTTAGGTGGTTTGAACTGCCTGAATATTTATGTATGGATGACTCTGCACAAGTTGAATCTTTGCTAAAGCAGGTTTGACGGTACTATATTTAGTTACAAATAATCACCAGAGATGGATATGAGCACATTATTAATGTAGCTATTTTTACTCCTACTTTTATTACTCTGACTATTACTACATGCCAGACAGATTAAGCATGTTTCCCGATACTCACCTGTAATTCCTCTTTGTCTTCAAAAGTACTTGTGTGTAAGTACTTCTCTCTCACAATCTTCACCACAGAATGCTGAAGATAAAAGAATTCAAATTAGAAGAATACTTCAATTCATATGTTTCTCTTTCTTACATCTTATATGAGTTTCTATCCATTAAACAGTGTGTAACATAGAGTACAAAGATCAAAAGAAAAAGCTCTTTGTAAAGACGTTCCCATGATGAAAAACAATACATGACAACAATTAAACTATTCATTGCAATCATGATTTACAACTATATAAGAATACCTAAACAATGTCTGAAAATTTGTTAAATGTTTCTTGTGATTAATTATATGCAAAATAAATCAAACTAAGTCCTTTTCCAAATTAAAACCAAGAAGTTTCTCACATCTTCCTGAAGTCTTAGTAGTTTCTGAAGAAATTTCTCATAAGTTCACCTTTAATTCTTCATTGAAGGGAAAATACTTCAATGTTAATGTCCATTCTCAAAATCAAAAGCAATCATTTTTCTCACATCCTCCAAAAATCTTTAATATTTTCCGGGAAATATCTCTTACAAGCTCACCTTTAATTGTTCCTTGAATGCAAAGTATTTTCCGGTAGTGTTGAGCTCATAGATTAGTTTCCTTCTTCTTTCATCCTGAGCCTCACCGCTGCTCTTGCTCAGATCACCTAGATCTCCAAACAATCCTCTACAAGAACAAACAAGACAATAAACATGTTATGGAGCGTCTTTGTGTCGTTGTGTGTTTGCGTGTCAGTATTGCTCATGTTATTTATATGTTTATTCATTTATTGTTTTGTTATTTTGCTTATTTTGCTCAAAAAAAATTTACCTAAAAATAAGAAGGAAACAAAAATCATTATCAAACCAGACATGGTTTTGACCTGTGAAGCAACACTATGATTACATCATAAAGCGTGTTGCATTTTAAGCCTAGACAGTGAAAGAAACTCTCAAGCAATGATTTCAGTTTGTTTTAAAACTGTTTTTAATGTAGTTTTCTTTTCAAGTTTCCCATCATATGTTCTCATTTCTTTAATAATAAATATATATATTTATACAAAAAATCATATAATCATGCATCATCGTTTGGATGTTGTTATGTATTGTATTTATATGTATATACATGATATTTATTTCTGTACCTAAATATTAAATTAATACAATAAAAAAAAAAAAAAAAACATGGGTGCCAATTGACATTCAGACAAGAAGGGTTGGTCAAGAGAAGTTAAAATGAATAAGGTTATCATTAAAATCACTCAAATATGAAGAAAGAAATTGATATGCATACATTTTCTATAATTCTTATATTTTTTACAACAGTATCACAGTTCTGTGTATGGTTCACTGCTAGTGTAAAGCATTTAAGGAACTTTGTTCCTTTATGTCCCATGATTGTACAAAAAATCTTTCTCTCCATACCTGAATTCTTCCAGTACAAGCTTGCTGATGCCGGCCACCTGTTGATGGAAGTCTTCCACAGCCTTCTGTGCTCCGTTGGTCCTCCGGGGGAAGAGAGGCCTTGGGGGAACAATCTCAGCAACTCTAGGAAATATAAGATATCAAACAACGTGAGTGATTGACAAACAATTAGCCCAGAAATAAAACACAGGAGCAAGCAGAAAGAGTTTGTTATGAATGCAACTCACATTGATAGAGAAAGAGCAAGGTCGTTGATAAACATGAAATAGAAAGAAAGAAAGAGAGAGAGAGAGAGAGAGAGGGGGGGGAAAAAAAGACAGCAATAAGTTGAAGAGAATGAGATATTCAGAGGAAAATAATGATGATGTCTCATGAACTTCCTTGCCGTCTCTTTAGAAGTCAGATTTGGAATAATGAGGTCAAGGAAAGAGGTGGAAGAGGAAGAGAAGATACAGAGAATGAAGGAAATTTAAAAGCTGTTGTAAGGAGATGGAGGGGATGAGAGACAGTGAGAGAGAAATAAAGTGAGAGAGAAATAAAGTGAGAGAGGGAGAGAAAGAGAAAGGGAGAGAGATAAGGAGAGAGAGAGAAAGGGAGAGAGGGAGAGAGAGAGAGAAAGAGACAGACAGACAGACAGATAGAGAAGAAGAAGAAGGACATGGAGAGAAGGACTAATATCTAACTCTTCAGCAGAGTTATTTTCTTTTCGGAAGGATGGGAGAAAGAAAGGAAAAAACAAGATAAAGGCAGATGAAACAAGAACATGACAGGTAGAAGGAGATCAAAGAAAGGAGGAGAGACAGACAGACAGACAGAGAAAGGGATGTGTTTGTGTGTTTAGTGTGTGTGGGTGTGTGGCTTATTACCTCTTTGCCAACTCTTCAGGGGCCCTCTTTGGAACAATGGGTGACTCCAGCTCAAACTCCACAATGATGTAGGTGCGTGCCTCATCATACTGCATGCCCTCTATGTTCTGTGGGGGCGGGGCGTCTGGATCCGATGCCCCCTCCGTCCCTGGGGCACCAAGCTTCTGCATCTGGGAGGGTTGCTAAAAGAGAAGCAGAGAATGATTGCATAATATGTGTTGTCCCTCTGATAGGACTTACAAGACTAGGTCAGTCACTAACCATCTGAGAGGGTTGCTTCAAGCTCTGTTTGATGGAGAAGTTATTATGCCTGTAATAGAACTTCAAGCCACAGGTTACCCTCGACTATTATTCACATAAAAGTAAAACAACAAAAAATTGTAAACAATGTGGCATCCTTTGAATAGGACTTAAAGCCAAAGATCCCTGATCGCGTATTTAATGACAGATCATCTATTTGGAGCAAGAGGACACTTGAACTCCGAGTTAACATTCTTCTGGTTCAAATAGATATCTTTGTTTCACAGAATCGTAGGTCAAATACCCTTGAGATACAAAGTCAACCATTCTACACATAGGCAAAGCTTTATGTTACTCTATGGGTTTCTTCAACCATTAATATATTGTATGACATTAACTTCATAAAGAGAAAATTCATCCGCACAGTCATAAGGCAGAATCTAAGTAAGATATACTGTAAACGCTGTTATTTTCGCATGATTTTTGCTCTGAGCGACCCAAAATCATTTTCGCTGGTTCTTAAATTCACGTTGCACCCAATTCAGCCAGTTCAAAACATGCATTATTAAAGTCATGCTTATATTTTCACGAATTCTAAAATTCGCACTTGCTGATCTACATTTACAGTCAATAATGATTATTTTAAATTCCTACCTTCTTTGTAGCAGCATCCTTGTCCTTTTCTTTATCTTTGTCTTTGGCTCCTTTCTCCTCTTTGCCCCCTTTCCCTCCTCCCTTGGGGAAGGGTGATGCGTTCCTGAGCATGCTGGTTGCAATGCGAGCAGCCTCATCGGCTAAACCACCCTTCCTTTTGCACTGTGAATGAATAATAATATATTACATTTATATAGCGCTTAACAAAAATAAAATACAAAGTAAAGTTAACCTACAAATTGCAACAATATAAAACATGATACATAATTATAATAACAAATTCCTAATAACAATCATACAATAATAATAGTTAATATTTACATAACGCTTTATAGTTTAACAAACAAAATATGATTACATTACATTACATTACATAATAAAATGATAAGTCTTATTAAAGTTTACTCTTGAATGTTTCTAACGTTGGGGACTCGCATATTTCATGGAGAACATTGTTCCAAAGTTGAGGGGGGGGGGGCACAAACAGAAAAGGCACGATTGAAAGAAAGAAATCAATCAATGTCACTACAAGACATCCATTCAAACTGATCTCAAAGGTACAACTTCTTCAAATTTTGTTGTGAATTCAAATTGTTCATTTAACAAAATTAAAATGTTAGCAAACAAAAATCATTGGGAAATCTATGAGAAAAATAAATTACATTTTGTGTTCCATAATAGAAAAAATGTTCTCTCTTTGTTTTAAGTTGATTGACTGCAACAACAATGGCACAATGACAATACTCATCAAAATTATAAGAATACTTTTAATTCCATTTAAAGTGTTAAGAAATAGTGCTCTCCACAAGACATAATACAAAATGTTATATATTTATGTACAATACCACACAAAAAGATATCATTAATACCCATTCTAGAACTTTAAGACTCACCTTTTCCATGACCTCTTGCTCTGTGAAAGCATGAACCCTGTACGCTCCTCGAATCTTTTTCACTAAATGAGAAAGAAAACAAGTAATGTTCAGATAATTACTTAAAATGATCTTGAAAAGTACTTTTTGAGGTTCATAGATGTTTTAAAAGAAAAGTATATACAAAGGGAGGGGGGAATTTATTTCAATAAAATAATCAATAAAATATTCTTTTATCGGTGCACTCATTATTATTATAACTTAATGCTTGAAACTGATTAATTCAATCACCAACTAACAGCCTTTCTTATCAACCCAGCATTAATTTGTCATTAGATAAATACTAAATAAATCAATATAAGAAATATTCACATAACATGATGAAAATGAAATGAAATAAGGGAAAAGAATAAACTAAAAATCAACAATCTATGTAAAACAACTACTATCTTGCAGACATATACCCTACTACCCTACAACTACTTCTTTGGAAAACTTCCACGGTATCAACCATAGCTATCCAATTGAGTTACTTCTTCGCAAGATAGTCATATAAGGAAGAGGGGTAGTTTGACATTGTGGCCGTTGTTGGGGTCATCCTTAGGAGTGTTTTCCTTGGAGTGACAACCTGGACCCCGTTTCACAAAACTTGTTATCGATAACAAATTTCACATTTCTATAACAAATGTGCTCTCAGCCAATCAAATGCAACAATTTCAGTAGCTTATTGCAACTTGTTATTGATAACAAGTTCTGTGAAACAGGGCCCAGGGGTAGTCATCCTGACAGGGGTTAGAACATGGGCCCCTTTTCACAAAACTTGTTATCGATAACAAGTGTCATGATTCTATAACAAAAGTGCTCATAGCCAATCAAATGCAACAATTTCAGTAGCTTATAACAACTATTTCAGCTTTTTATTGATAATAATTTCTGTGAAACAGGGCCCAGGGTAGTATCCTGACATGAGAATGTAGACCTTACCTCCTGGGTAAAGCAGCGGTGCCAAGTTGATGAAAGCCACTCCGTGGAAGAATATGGAATTATCATCCTCCTGGTGAATTAATAATAAATAATAATAATAATAAAAACATTGTTTATATAGCGCTTACCACCAAAGTCTCTAAGCGCTCAGATTCAATCAAGATTATTAAGTAACTGACAGATTGTATAGTTCCTTTCATCGTTGAGTAAAAAGAGAACGCTTCAATTCCAATTTCAATTGATATGCACAAACAGCTTAGATTTATGGTAATTTCAGGTATTTGGACAATTTTATGATTAGAATTGATTACATCCGTCATATCCGTCAACTTTTGATCAAGATATGGGAATAATTTACATTGGATCATACATGTATCTATGATTGACTGTGTACATAATCATTCCCTCCTATTACAGGCATTGCTAGAGAATTTAGTAATTTTGAGGAGTATTTAGTACAAATCCTTTTGAATCAACATAGACAAGGGCGCACATCCAGGATTCTGTAAACAAAGAGGGCCGGGGGGGGGGGGGGGGGGGGGGGAGGTCTTACACAGTTCGAAAGATATTCTAATAAACTAAAAGACTAAAATAAAATATAAATAATAAAAAGGAAACAATTTTTTTTTAAAGGGAAAAAAAATGAGAAAGAAATAAGTATCATCAAATTTTTAGAGCAATTATATATTGGTATATCCATCATTTCACAGTATTTAAAAAAAGCTTTCTTTTAATTTGTTGAGAGTTCTGTTAGCATGCCTACCTTTCCCTTTGTTTTAGCAGCTGAAGGCATAGGCATCCTCATGATCTCCACAGGCCAGAATCTTGTCTTGGCTATCTTAGTCTGCAAGCTGTGCAACATAAACATAAAGTCAGAACCACAATGAAGAGAACTTCTATTCACAGCTTGAAAGAACCAGAGTAACCAAGAAACCAGAGTCCTGTCTTATAAAGAGTTGCAATTGATCCAATTCAATCGCAAGTTTGCAGTCCTCCATCTCTTATGTACTCAGTCGCAAGTTATATCAGTAGCAAATAAGATGCGATTAAATCAACACTTTATTACAAGATGGGGCTCAGATGCATCACAATACATTAATTATATTTCATGATTATAACACCCCCCCCCCCCCCCCTCAATTACTTATCCGCCTAGGTCTCAAAAAATCCATTCATGAGATGTATTGTAGGTAAAATAATCCCTGTCCTGATTTTCTGAGGTTCTATTTCCTCCTTTAATTTTTAATTTAAAAAAAGATTCTTTATCAAGTATTTGATTATTTCTCACGTACAATACAACCACCTCAGTGTGTAAATCCAAATGAATGTAAGAATAAGTTCCATCACATTTGTAATTAATGCTACATCATTAAGTCCCTTGGAACACCAGTTAAACTGCAGGTCTTCTATCACTGGTACATATGAAAACATACTTGTTTACTTTTCCTGTCCCCAATAAGAAACACGCCATACAAAACAAAACAAAATATTCTCACCTCTGTACGGCTGACGGATCCAAGAAAGCCCTTCTTTCGCAGTTCCAGTATACTCTGTTCTTTTCATTCTCTGCCTCTGTCCTGAACTCCCGATCCTATGAAGAAAAAAAGAGCATAGCAAGAAACGTTTTAAATGGAGAAGCAACATTTGGTCATTATTTGATATGGAAATGATCTAGCTGCCCAGAGAGATTTATATGAAATAAGCAATGACAGAAGATTACATTGTTCAATATTGAATGGCTTGTTACTATCATTTTTGCACCAAAGCTGAACAGCCATTGCAAAATCCTAGCTTGCGGGTCAATAATGATTATTCATATAGGATGCATTAAGCCATAGCATTTTTTTCTTCTTTCAATGTGTAAGTTTGTTGCAAATAATAATATGTTTTGTTTACCCAGGGTATAACCTCATTAGTATCGATACTGTATCTCCCTTATGGCCCTGCAATCACAAGTATTTGTGTGCAACAAAGGTCCTATGCATAATATGTGTATTACAAGATGTAGATAAGTGAACAGCATAACGCTTATTTTGCCAAGGGAGTGCCGAAACTGGGAACAAAATTTGAGGCTTAACTTGTGCTTTAATTCACTTTTTTGCCGTTTAATTTCAGTTACCACACCAGAAAGGCATCAGTCATCCATAGATGACTCCAGATCAGAGAAGAATAGTAAAAAAAAAAAGCGTCTGATTTATCTCACCTCTTTGCTTGTCAGCTCCCCATCTTCTTGCTCTTCACCGCTTGGTTGTACAAATCTAGAATGAAATCATGACATTGTTATGACAAAGTGTTTATTATTTACAATTTTATCACTTTAGAATCAATTTCAACCGTGACACCGATCATTAAATATTGTAAAATCGCATATGCTTCCAATATATTCATTTGAACCAAATTCATGACCCCATACCAAAACTTTGTATTACCTTTAAACTATATGGTTGTGTCTGAATGATTGTTAAATATCATAAGATTAGGTGGACACATCATTTGCTTCAAAGTAAGGGCATTCATAAAAATGCATTCATCAAAACTCCTGCACAGGTCTATTTGGTTTTAAGACACACGCACCAGCGATAACTGCTCCATGGTCAAATATCCTACACTAACCAAACTCTGAACTTTGACTCTGGATTAAATAGTATACCTAACTGTAACCTTAAACCTAACCATAACCTTAAACTTTACCCTAAACTGAACCTAAACCCAATTGTAACTCTAACCCTAACCCTACATTTTTAATGAAATAAAGCACTGAGCAAGTGTCTTTGGAGCAGAAGTCAGGTAATCCTTGTTTGTGAATGCATTTTATATGTATGTATGTATGTAGGTATATTTGCATATTGTCTGTGCTTTATAAATATAAATTATTATTATTATTCAGTTATTCATTTGGAAGCAACTAAAATCAAAGTGCAATATCCTGATTCTTGAAAGACAGCAAATGTTGTAATTCATTAAGTCGCTACTTTTCTAAAAAGACACAAAATAAAGTGGTTTGAAAATGTAATACCGGAACATAACATCTAAATCTTGCTTTACAAGTTGCAAAGAGTAAATGGTAACATACTTGTCTGGAATGTAGATAGCGCCACCGGTAGCTCCGCCCGGGACAGGCCACTTTTTCTGTTTGGACGGTATTTCCTTATCGTTAGCTGCTTTGAGGACACCATTGGACATTACCACCACAGACTCTCTCTGTCAAGAACAATCACACAGTAAAAATAAAAATATATTTGATTATCAAACATTCCAAATTTTTGTAACAGTCAAGTACTTATTGTGAAACTTACATCATCAATTAATTCCTTGAAATGCTAAAGCGCTGTAATGGCAGCTATAGGCTAAAGCCGGCAATAATTCATTTGTGCGCCTTGGAAAAGAATTATCTAGATAGACGGCGCTACATTAATGCCTATTATTGTTATTATTATCATCATCATCATCTGTCAAATATATTTGAGATCAAGATTCATTTGTTACCTTCAAAATTATTTCACTAAAATCAGACTAAGAACGTATATAAAACATTTTTCAAGTTAACCCATTACTTACAGGAACCTGTATGAAACCTATGGAAATGAAGGAATTAAGCAGTCAACAACAAAAATACTGTGAAACCTGTATGAAGACCACTAAAGTGAGACAAGAAAAACATATTTTTATAAGCAGGTAGTCTTAATATACAGGTTCCTTTAATAATAATATTTAATAATATTTAATTTTTATATAGCGCTTAATACAAATGTCTCTACCGGTAAGCGCTTTACAAATATACAGGTTCCTTTAGTTCAGGTTTCAAAGAAAAACCGTTTTCAATGTAAACAATTAATGTAGTCTTTACAGACAGGTGGTCTTTCTACACAGGTGGTTGCTAAAGCAGGTTTGATTGTATTTAGCATCAATATTACCTACCTCTTCTGTGAGTGGGAAAGGGAGGGTCACATTGTACATGTACTGTGTTCCTGTGGGATTCCATGATTCAGGGACGGAGTAAAGAGTCTCCGCCGTGATGGTGATCAGGTTGCCACTCTTCAGCTGGTCTTCAGTCAGCAGTGGGTCATTGACGTACACCACTACATCCATCTCAGGCTGAACAATGGACGAGAAATAAAAGGAATTGATCACTTCGAGGGTCTTTGCAAATCATTTTCATAATAAAGTACTGGTTGCTCTAGGCTTGCATGATTTGGCGACAACCATAATGAGGTACGTTTCTGTAAAATCAGAAACTCTTGCAAATTTTGGGAATGGTCCTGATTAGTGGGGATCATGTACTGAAATAATTGAATTACCACATTGAATTCTCCAAGTCATAAAAGATTCTTCTAATGATTTGCATCTACTTTGTAAAGGTGTCGTGGTTGAGTGGATACGTCGCCCAACTGTTGATCAAAAGGTCCACGGTTTGAGTCCCGCCGCAGCAATAATGTCCTTTGGCAAGACATTGATGAATAGTTTACTACATTAATGGCGCATTACAAATCATGCTGTAGTTTTTACTTCCGGAAGAAAAAAAAAAAAAACTACTGGTAATTGTTTAACCAATACTTAATTAGATCACTTATATTTCTTTAGAGTGATTTGGCACCTAAAGCATGGAAGGGGTTCACTGAAAGGATGACTTACCCTCTGGGCATCAGCCCCTACGCTCTCCAGGGGTGAGCCTTGCAGGGGATGGATCTGTAGGGTGCTCTTATACCTCGTCTCTCCTTTGACCAGAGGCAAGAGGTCAATAGTACATTGACCCAGAAGATACGTCTTCTCTTCTTTCTGTTTCTTTTCTTGGGAAGCACTTCCACAAAAGTCACTGGATAGGGGAGAGAGAGTAGAGAAAATTATGCTTTGCAACCTCTTCCATAAGAAAAAAGATAAGGAGAACAGACACTTGCTGAACAATTATTCTTCTGGGATATAATTCCATCTGAATTTTTGACTGGCTATTATTTCTACTTGCTTTTATTTTGCTTTTATATTGTTTTTACCTCTCATTCTCTCTCTCTCTCTTTCTTTTCATTCCAACTTCACTTTAAGCGCAGTGTCACAATGCAAATTCAACATTTAAAAGATTATAAGCAATAAATTCAATTGCATGATTAAATTTTGATTATTTGAAAATGGCATAATTAAATCTAGGGCTTTTGAACAAAACTAGCAATCACTTTATAGACTTTAAGTAATTACCCCTTGAATTAATAATAGACTATTTCAGACGTGTGTTGAAAATGATAGATATATGTCAACATATGTCACTCCTTGGATGGAACTTACCCACAACCGGTTTGTAAGCAATTTCATCTATGATGGCAGGGTCATCGAAGCTACAGTCAAACTTGGCGTTGAAATTATACTCGGTTGACTGGTCTGACCCTGCGTCCACTTTGGCAGATTCTCCCAAGACGTTGGTGCCATACTCCACACGGACCAGAGAGTTGAGGGTGTCCCCTTTGCTTCCTTTCTGTTATACGAGTAAGTAAAAAGGTGGAACTCTTGGTTTTGATAGTGCTCTGCCATCATTGGGAATCTCATTTGTAGTCAGAATGTTACGGGTATTCAGGAAAAAGTATTTATTAGCTTCAATGTAACACAATGTTTATACAGTCAAACCTCTCTATTAAGGCCACCCACAGGAAACATAATAACTTGCCACTCTAGACAGGTGGCCTTTCTAGACAGAGACTTCAACACACATTTCCTTTAATAAAGGGAGGCAGAAAATGTGGGTTGTCACTAATAAAGGTTTGACTGTATATCTATTTGAGAGTGGATTCTCAAAGCACATACACATATACAATAAAGTATGTATGACCTATGCAACTATAGCCACATTTAGGAGGATTTTGAACAATACTTTTATTTAATCCACCTTAAATTTTTTGATTGTAGTATATAGGCAGCATACAGTGAATTCTTTGGTTTATGAAAGAGTTTAAGTCTTTATTCATAAGATATGTAAGCTTTTCATACGACCTAATATATTTTAATTTTTCTAAATTCCAAGTGAAAAGGATCTGGAAAGGGGGTTTGGGCATGCCAAGGAATTGAACACAAGAGGCCATAATTGCTAAAAATTAGAAAGTGTCATTTAAATTTAAAAAAAATAATAATTATATAAAAAATATTTTAAAAAACAATCAGTTTCAATTCTACATCACTCGAAGGTAAACTGTAAAACAACAAAACTACTCACCAAATTCCGTGCTCTCAAGATCGTGATGTTTACATGCTCGGGAGGACGTTGTTTCTGTTGGTCCTCTTCGGTCGCCATGATGAAAGTTCAAGCACCTCTTCTTACTAGACTGGAGTTGAAGAAATAAGCATATTAATTATTTTTTTAAAATTAAAAATTAACAAACACAAGCAAACAGGACTTCTGGCAGGCTCATGGCCTTCCATGTTTTGTTACGTTTTAAAACTGCACCACATATATCATGTTCTATACCACATGAATAGCTTCAATCCTTGAAAGTTTAACAACAACAAAAGTCAATTTGAGCCTGTCAATGATGTATAAGTATCCGACTCTATCCTACCCGAAAGTCTATTGCTGGGCATTGACAGTGTACATCAAACTCTGATAATTGGAGACTATAAAGTGATAAGGTCTACTTTTGACTGGCTCTCTAACTACAAAGGAAATCAAAAGTGGTGGAAGTAGATAACAAGCGAACAGGATTGGTGGTGGCTTCCGGCCACATGTACTTAGTCAGAGGAGAATGCATGCTTGCATGCACGGATCAAAATCCCAATAGCTTAGGCCGGCATCGTACACCGGACCTCCCTGCATGAGATTTGGCCGAATTTTGCCTTTGCAAATTCAGAAAATGACATCACAATATATAAAGGATCAAGATCTAAAACTGAACATTTCTTGAAATACAGCCCATTTTCTGAAACCATGTTGCCTTGTGGACACAATGTCACATAAGACAGGTGACATGTCCATTTTCAAATCTTAGGAGCACGACTGCTGGTGAGAAAATTGCTTAAATGCAACAAATATTGATCAGTAGGGGCGCTGGTCTGAGAATAATGGATTGTCCGCATTTTCGCGAAGTCTTTTAATTTTAGGAGCTCTGCAGTTGTAGGGTTATGAGTTGTCTGTCTAATTCCTGAGGATTTATCGTTCACAACCTGAACATCTAAGTGCAGTGTAAGTGAAGCATGAGTCATGGAGCATAATCGCGGAATTCGTTTTTCGCATTGCATTTTCATTCAAATCATTCATCATCATCATGCACACACGAAATCGAACAAATGGGACCGGCACTGCCGACACTTGCACAGACACCAGGGAGGAAAGGTTCTTATAATGGTAATTTCAATATTTCTTTACGTGCTTAATACAATTAAAAACAATACCTGACAAAATATACGTCTTAGCTAGCTCAGTCCACAGTATTTGACTATCTACTTGCTGAAAATTTGAAGATTATGCGCCATACATCGGGTCTTCAGCTTCGGAGGCTTCGCCAAGTTTCCATAGTAATGTAGCTAGTGCGCATGTGCAGATTAATTAACAAACACGAAATCACAATCAGTCAGTATAGTATACAGTCAAACTACTATAATATTTGTCGGATCAACAAAGTTTTGTTTAGGTCAGGGTATTTTGCATGTTCTTTTGAAAATTAATATTATTCTTCTTTGTCTTCATGACTTGCATATATTTCTAACAAGGCCTTCACAATCATAGAACATCAGCGCAGTTGCTTTTGGAAGAAAAAAAAGGTGACAGACTGTAGCCCTTTGAAGATTACTAGTAGAAGAAATGTAAAAAGAATCAGTTCATCATTGGCATCCATGAATTAGAAACTATAAATTTGTAAGATCTCTATTTTCTTCAACTTCCACCCCTTAGATCATCGGTATCCCCCCACCCATATTTTATTCTCAATTTCTCTCCCGTTCATATGCGCGCCTTTAATTTATGTTAACACTTTTCTTCCTCCTTTTTCATCGACGCATCTATAGACTTTCCAATCTTCTTCAAAGTTTTATAAAGTAGAAATAAGGCGAATCAGCAAAGGCAGCTCAAGAATCATAGGTTCCGATTTGGGGGCAGAGGTGGCAGATCCCCCCCCCCCCCGACCCGAGTTTAAATTTTGGGGAGGGCAACTTCGATTTTGCTCCTCCGCCCCCCCCCCCCCCTCCCTAACTTAATTACACGTAATTAGTTTGCATTTACACACTTATTATAATAAGTTCTGTGCTCTAAAGTGCTAACTTTGAGGATTTAAAATCAAATAATATCTCGCTCGGTGGTTACGCTTCCGAGTTCGAAATCAACAGACCCAGTGCTCCCTGAAACCCAGTCTCAGCGGCGGATCCAGGGGGGCCGGGAAAAACAGAAGGAAAAACAAGGAGGGGGGGGGGGGAAGGGAGAAAAAGAAGGAAAAAACAAAGAAGGAAAAAAAAAGGGATATAAAAAAGAGGAAGAAGAAAAGAAAAGGGGGAAGAAGAAGATCTGGGGCGAAAAGGGCTTGCCTCCAAGACTGTTGCGCCCCCCTCCCCCCAATCAAAAAAAAAATAGGAGAGAAGGAAGGAAATGGAAAGAAAAAATGAAAAGAGGAGATAAAGGGAAAGAAAATTGAGGAAGAAGAAAAGAAAAGAAGGGGAAATAAGTTCCAATGTTCCCGCCAACAAGTTGTGGATCGGGGTGGGGGTGGGGCAAAAGGCCCTTGCCTCCCCCGCCCCCGCTAAAAAAAAAGAGAGAAGGAAGGAAAAGGAAAAAAGGAGAGCTAAAAGGGACCGAAAAAGAGGAAGAAGAAAAAAAAAGGTGAAAAGAAGGGGAAATAGATCATTTGCGGTTAAATTTCGCCAACAACGTGTGGAGAAGGGTGGGGGCCGAAAGGACCTTGCCTCCCCATCCCCCCCCCCCCCCCGCAGCAAACCTAACAGAGAGAGAAGGAAGGGAAGGAAAGGGAAAGAGGAGAGAAAGGGAAAGAAAAAAAAGAAAAAGAAGAAAGGTAGGGGAGATCAGTTGCGAATTTCCGCCAACAAATTGTAGATCAGGGGGGGGGGGCGGGGCACTGATGGCGTACTGATCGGGGAGGGGGCTCGGGGGAAATAAAATTTAAACGTGGTTTATTTCTAATTCCATAACGGTGGTTTACACATAATACTGAAATGACATAATTTTCAGAGATTTTTCCTCATTTTTTAGTAAATTATACTATTTTATGCGTTTGTTGTAAAAATGACAAATTCCTAAATAAACAGCCAGGCAAGAAACATGTTTCTTGAGATGCCTACATGTCAGGGCCCGCGGAACGGCGGGGATCGGGAGCCTCCAGCTCCCTCGCGTCAATCAGTGTCCTGCCAACGTGAAACGTAAAAGCTTCCGCGCTCTGCGCGGGAGGGGGAAACTGAATTCAAACGAGGCTTAAGAGTCGAGAACGGTAATACGAATCGTCTTCTTTCTTTAACAAATTTTAATAAAACGTCAAAGCTTTCGCGCGGGAGGGGGGGGGGGGAACTGAATTCAGACAAGCCTAAGAGTCGTCATGGTACAACGAATCGTCTTCTTTCTCTAATAATTTAACGAAACGTCATAGCTTCCGCGCTTCGCACGGTAGGGGGGGGGGGGCTAAATTCAGACGAGGAGAAAGGGTCGAGAACTGTACGTTCAACGAATCGTCTTCTTTCTTTAATGATTTAATGAAACGTAAAAGCTTCCGCGCTTCGCGCAGGAGGGGGAAAAACTGTATTCAGACGAGGAATATATTCGAGAACGGTACAACGAATAGTCTTCTTTCTCTAATAGTTTAATGAAACGTCAAAGCTTCGGCGCTTCGCGGAGGAGGGAGGGGGAAATCGCCCCTCCCTGCACCCCCCCCCCCATTACGTCAATGCTGGTCACCATTGCGTACCGATATTTAGCTCGCATAAAAATTTGGCCCCCCCCCCCCCAAGAAATCCTGGATCCGGGCCTGCCCAGTCTACATGCAACATAATAGTAGTAGGCATCATCAGAGCAAAGGGGCAGAGGCTTTTATGATCTAGGGATTGGGGGCAAATTCTTTTTTGCCCCCTCAACATGCGATAGTAATATTGCAGTATTCAATTAAGTCCAATATAATTCAAGGTAACATTTATTTTCTCCCATTTTGTTTTCCATATTAAGAAAAGCAACAGATTTGATATAAATGTACATACTGTGTACTCCCTAAAACATAATGTTATTGAAGCAATCAACTCTTTGTTTTAATCCAATGATTGGATTTTAATATTCAACATTTTCGCAAAAATAGGCCCGCTTGCCCGTCGTTAACTAGGATCTGCTTAAAGGTCTTGCTGAAATAGGGATTTCCTTGCTGTAGGCCTACTGGATCACCCGCATATAGGCGGTGATGAATACAAGCTAAAATTCACTGGAATGCCCCAGTCTTAAGGCATGGGTAGACCAAGGTCTGCATATACCACCAATTCAAATGTCATCCGATTTATCACATTTTGAAATGGGGTCAAAGTATTCGATAATAATATTGTTTGCTTCATTCGCTGGCAATGTAGTAACTGGAAACTTGAATTTCCAATACCGCAAGAGACGCCCATCCCCTTCAGCCACACCCACAACTATACTGAACTGAACGATACAGAAGTAGGCATATTATCGGTCTGTATCAACAAGAAACAAAATTTGGTGTCCCGTACATGTCTTTATTGCCGCCATCCTCTTATTCAGTTCGGTTCTAGCAGCAAGGCATTTTTTGGATTTTTTTCCTTTTAGGTTATCACAATTTTGCTTAACTTTAAAAAAATGTTTATATACCTATATTATGCAGGAATATAATTATTACTGACATGTAAATAATACACATTAGCAGTGATGAAATGAAACCAAATAAATTGTAGGCAATCGTGAGATATCTGTTTTTGAGACGGAGATAATTCGCCTACTTGTCCCTGACAACTATTCCGCGAGGGAGGATCAGGAATAATGTAGGGAAAAACCCCGTTCCGATTATTCCAAACGAGTTTAAAGAATAGGTGATATTGTAATGATTGTGGTACCAATACCATTACTACCAAGTAGTCTCTTACTGTCAATAACGGAATGACTCAATAACCATTCACACTAATTCGTTAAGATCCGCTTTATTTATTTTTCTGTAAAGTAGGAGTGGTATGCATGCCCTGCTGGGGCTCACGTTCCAAATAAGGAAATTCCCATACCAATGACGTCATGGTCCTGAGTGTACTATCGTATCGTAGGGCAAGTTAACTTTTAGAGCTCTTTGCTGGAAATAATTGGAATTATCTGTGTTTTGCATCGGTACAGAATGTTTTTCTGATCAAAAATCCTATGTTATGAACTGCATTTCAGCTTTATTATCACTTAACAAGCCGAAACGAAATTCCTCACGAGGGAACAAACGTCAAACCGATACAGAATAGACTAGGCGGATTTCGGTACGGTTGCATGATCTTGATCGGCGATCAATAAATTTTTCTCACCGGCACAGTTTGTAATCATGGCGGATTTGGAATTAGATATCGACAGCATACTCACTCGTCTCCTCGAAGGTATTGTTATTATTGCATTTTTATTATGTGGTGACGGTTATTCTGTATGTTGTGATTGTACATGTCGAAATTTTAGTAAATCCAGAACTGGCAATGGGTTTAAAAATCCATTTGCTTTTTGCGAACCAGGAAGCGTTTTCACTAATCATTGGATTTGCCTTTGGCCATTGGCAGTGCATGTATTGTCAGTGCAGTGTTGTGTGAATGAGAGGGGTTTTGCAGTCATTTTCAAACTTCAAAGGCTAAACCGGCGCGGCTGAACTGTGTAGCTAGCTAGCAGTGCAGTACCACTGTCTGTTGGTATTGTGACTTTAGTCCTGATAAACTGAAGCAGTGGTGTTTGTTGAGTGTGCAGAGTAACTGTTAAGGTAGACAGAAAATAACTGTAATGGGGAAATTCTTTAATAAAACTGACATTTCAAGTTCAAGTTTGATTTATCTTTCTTTCATAACACACATTACAAATATGACATGAATTACATGTATAGACTATAACAAGTTGACAGAATATGGCGTTACAATAAGAAAGATGAGGTCCATACACAGACGGTACCCCTTTACGACTCGCACACTTTATGGAGAATACTCGTAATTTTCAACTCAGTTTCTCTTTATCTACCAGTAGACGTATTAGCTTGATATTCAAAAGAAATGATTGGAAAGAATTACTGGTATTATTCTTAAGATTTTGCCCAACTGCAACTCGAGCCAAACATCCAGAACATCTTAAAATTGTTCTAAAATGACTACAAAAGATAATAAAAAATAATGATCAAATATACCTTCTAGATGCAGATAACTAGTCCAAGGTCAACATTGAAGCTCATTTGGTTTGGTGTTTTTACAGGACAATGCAATCCTTTTTTTAACTGTAGACCTTGTAAGTATGGCGGCTGATATTAGTGGAGGTAGACCACTATCGTGATATTAAATCGAAATGAGAGCATAACTATTCAAATTCTATTTCCAGGCAATTTTTTTTCTTTTCTTTTTGTGAATTAATTTGGCTTGTAAATCCAAATGATATATTTCTCTCTCACTCTCTTTGTTATTATTATGGGGGCTTATTGTTATTATTATATGGGCTTATATTTTATGTGAATGATCTTTTGTAGCCATTTTAGTCTATAGCATTTTTAGGATGTTCTGAAAGTTTGACATGAGTTGGGCAGAATCTTAAGAATTACCAAAATATATCTACTTTTCATATACTTTCAAAATAACATTAAAAATAATTGCAAAACATCAAACATCAGACTTACTCTCAGCTACATGTAATCTGCCCATTTTCTTGAAAAAACTGTGCACGGTGAGATCAGCAATCAAACACAAACTGTAATGCAAAACCTCCCCTTCACTAACTTAACAAACTTTCTTACCCTTTTTCATACTGATCCGCCCTTGAAATCGCTTGAAAATCATGATAATTTTTATCTTCAAAATACCTTCCCTGGTGGGAGGCTAGATTGTTTAATCATGAACCTACATTTACTACGAATGTTTAATGCATGTACAGTACATGTACATTGATTTTAATCATTTCAGCGAGTTACAAAATGTTAGGCTTACCTGTACGCTACTCCCTTCTTCTTTTTTCTGGTATTAGTACAGTGTTCAACACTTGCTATTTACACACAGTATCTGCAGTAAACAAATAATGCTGAGGAGTGGGCTTTTTTCCCCTCTTATCATTTCAAAGCTTCATTCATACCTCGTCTGATATAAATATATTCATGACTCATTACTGTTTTTTCATAATATTTCTCTCTCGTTTCTTTTCTTACGCAGCAAGAGGTAGACCGTACAAATCAGTAAATCTAACAGAAGCAGAAGTAAGAGGCCTATGTGTCAAATCAAGAGAAATATTCCTTAGCCAACCAATCTTATTAGAATTAGAAGCTCCTCTCAAAATATGCGGTAAGTATGTCAGTTTTATTTTCCAACCAAATCATGTATGTACATAGCCCATTACTTAGCTTGGATTTTTGTAATTATTGGGTAAATTTGCTTGAAGTTTGAATTCATCCATGTGGAGCCATGTTTTTGTTTTACTCAATTAACAGGTTTTGAACATGCAAACATTAGCCTAACATGTGTACTGTGTATCTGTTATTAAACACTTAATTTGTTTCACTTCTGTTCCTCTTTAGACACATTGTAAAAGCAGGGGATGCTAATTCTTCTGAAGACATTAAGTGTAATAAAAAAAAATTGATGTACATTATTTTACCACAAACATTGTTATACTTACTTATGTTTTTCATTGTGAGAGGTGAACAATCTCAAGTCAGTCAAGTGGGCAATATAATTTATTAAGTATTCTAAACTTCTAAAGTGGTGCATAATGTACATGTACTGTACCACAGCTTGTAACAATGGATGGATGTATTTTAGGAAAGTGGTTAATTGTCATGAGTCATAGACTGGTTTGAGGATATTACAACTGGTTGATGTACATTGTACTACATGTACATGTAGATGTACAACCCTGTGCAAATAGATCCTTGAGTGAAGGGTTTGAGGGGAAATGTGCAATTGTGATCTTGGTTTACTTTTAGATCCTAATTAGTTTGTGGGATTCAAGTAAGTGTCATTGACATGCCTGTACGTGTATATTATGTATAAATAAGAATTGTAAAAAGGACAGACAAGCCTGCATGCTTGAATGTCGTAGGTTTTATTGTTCGTAGGTGTTATTGGTTCACTTGAAAGAATGTTATTGTTCCGATGAAGTGTGGAAAGTTATATCAATGTAGACTTGAGCTCCATCTTTTTTTTTCTACGTACTTTTCTTCTTGAGTACATGACTACATTTACATGTACATGTACATCAAACTGTCCTTGATTAACTGCAAATCTCCAGAAATGCAAGCAATAAAATAGAAGTAGTTAGTTAATTAGATAAGTGATGTACAATACATAGATAATTTTGTGACGATATAATCACATACCGGTAATCTTTTTTTTTTAACACAGATGTTTTTAACAGTTATTGAATTGTAAAGATGTACTGTGTATGTACAGTACTTGTATATTATTTATACAAGTTCATTGTATTTTTGAAGTTTTGGACATGTACATGTACATGTATACTTGCAGAAATGAACTTGACATTACAGGTATATTCATTATCCCTATTATCTTTCAGTAAACAACTTATTCTATTGTTGTTATCAATTACAGCAATTACAGCATGATTTTTTACTCGCACGTCACTGTTTTACTGTATAAAGAAATTATACACCCTTTTGTTGTCTGCACCTGCACCTGCTGTCACAACACATCCCATCCCAGTATAGCTTGGAAAAGCTGCTTCAGGGATTACTTCATCAAGTATCAAGTATCAAGTACAGTTACACTGTAGGCATTAATAACCAGGTACACACTACATGTATTTATCTTTCAGTCATCATATTCTCATGAAATGTACATATGTACATGTACCCTATATTACATGTATGTACATTTTCCTGGAGGTCAGAGGAACAGAACATAATACATTCATGTACATTTGTAAATGGATCTACATGTACTTACATGTATGGGCCAAATGTTTTATAAAATAGAAAGTTTAAAGAGATGCAATGTCCATGTGTATCAAGGCTGTTCTATCAGTGTGGTTACAAATGTTATTGATTAATCCATGGGTGGTCTTGTTGTTGTCAATAGATCTATACCTCAGTCACAGGGCTACAGGCCTTATACTGAATTCAAATACACTTGCAGCTGTGTAGAGAAGACCTTACAGTATGTAAGGTGCAAGGATAGTCATTGTGGTTAACCACTTGTTTGGAGACATTCTATTATACATGCAAGGTTAATTGAAATTAACATTTAAATTAATGAAACACTGAATCATACAAAGTCAATATCATGGCCCTCAGTCAATGTAAATAAGTCCTTTCCAAACATGTATTCATGACTTGTACAATGTACATGTACATCTATTTCATATTGTGTTTCAAGCAATTATGTTGTTTATAATGTACAGTACATGTACATGTATGTAGGTTCTTAAAAAATGCATAATATGCACATATTTCATTTTGGTAAATCTGTCAACAAAATCAAGATGAGAACAATCAACAATCTTTAGGTTAAAAAGTTAGCTGTGGTTGTTTAGCCATATTGCTGATTTTTCATTTTTCATGGTGACATACAGTATACTGTTGCCAACAGTTACATTGCAACCACAGTCCAGATGATAGTTAATCAATTATGTTTTGTTTCTTCTGATGTTTAAGCCTACATGTAAAATGCATGTTCCTTTAACTGATAAAAAGTCTAATGCCTGGAAAAGGGTTGGCTTGCATGCACATAATTATTTGTTCATCTAAATGTTATTTCATTAAAATAGTACATTGCATTTGATTGCGAATTTTGTTGAGGATTTGCCAAAAAGGCAAAAACCATATTAAAAGCCTTTTTTTTCTTTCCTCACTCTCATTACTGGTACTCATAACCTGGGATTACCAGTAATTTACAGAGTATTGTACAGACAGCAACCTACAATGTACATTGTATGTACATGTATGTACATGTAGGCTACTGTACAGATGAGAAGATGCATAGGCCAAGTACATGTCTCAGGCTCTGCAAGTGTGTTCATTCGTATGTTAATACAATCATGTTAATGAGATTTGGTGAGAACTTGCCCAAGGCCAGCAAGGCAGACGATTCTCACTGTCATCTCACGGCATGTTCACACAAATCCACCATATCGATAGGCTACATGTACAGTGTAATCTGCCACAAGGTAGTGTAGGCCTACACATACTCATCTTCGGATGGATTTACGCAGTGGAACCCTGGGGAAGCCGTGGATGATGCACGCATTCCAGGGCCCCTACTGTCACACAGCATACCAGCCACATACCGATTCAAATATCAAGCCAACCAGTCTGCATCTACGCCTGCGTGGGCTGTATGGACAGCGTGGTATACTGCTCCCATACCCTTGTACACTGTAATTGCATCGGTTTTGCAGCTGCAGCACGGATGTACATGTACATGTACTGAAGGACCTACAATAATACGTTTAATGAAGCATTCATTACACAAGGGTATCACTTAATTATCAGTTCCATTGGGTGAAATGAGGTCATTTTTTTGACTACTTTGAAATTTGTATGGTAATTGGTAAATTTGGAAGGGAAATAAAAACATGATATGCCTACAGTGTCCATAATTGTGTTTTTTTTAAAAATCACATTTGCTATTAGAATAATGTGCACATATTGCCTTTAGTATTATTACTGTCAATTTTCATGCAGTATGTAATCAAAGTAATCTCCAGTTGAGATCAAAGGGATCAGCCTTTTATTTTCCTCTGTCTCCTAAAAGCTCTCTTTCCCTCCCTTCTTCTCCCTATTTTTCTCCTTTTTTTAACCTGACAATTTGTAGCTCTGTAAGATTTACAATGTTATTACCTGTAGGAATTGCCTGTCATTCATAATGTTAACTAACTTTTCCTGGAAAGTGACAATGACAACAAGAAATTGTCATTGTTACATATACCGGTACCTATTACAAAGATGCTTTAAATTGATTTTTTTTATAATATTTACTTTGTAGTTTTGTAGGCCATAAAGGCATGATAAACAGATGATTTAAGCCCACATTGTACATGTACATGTAATGTTCAGATCCGGTTCGCATGCAGGTCAAATGCAAGGTCTTCATTGCCTGCATAAGAAGTATTCTCTGGTATTGAGATGCATAGAAATAATTGAGCTGACAAGAAACCACAAACAATCCATGGCTGTGATTACATCGTACTTGTGCCCTTTCACGCCCTCCCTCTTTTGATATACAGTGTACACACATACATGTACATGTACGTATTGTCAGCTATTGTACATGTAGGCCCAGTGCAGGCTACATACAATACATGTATAACTACAACAGTCAGCCATGTATAAAATTTGCTTGTTCAAAGACAAATATCTTTCTTATGAAAAGAAAAATGTCTTACATAGCCTACTAGAGAAAATCTTATTCAACATCTATGAAAAGGCACTTTTAAGCATTTGTAGCCAGGTACATGTAAAACTTGACCCTTCATAGATTACATGTACGGTACATGTACAGTGTATACAGTGTACATTTACGCACAACTTTTCATATTTTTACTGTTTGTGTGATTGTAAATAATTGTAACCTATAGTTTATACAGCCAAATGGGTACAGTTTGTACAATGTCAGTGTACATTTAGTTACCTGTGTGTTTTTCTTTTCACAAAAATATATTAAATTTTGTTACCATAATGTCAATTTCCTTATATTTTAAAAGAACACTTTAACCTGTGTTAAATGATAGAATAATAGTACATTTATTTTAGTAGATCATATAACCAAGAATCTTACATGTACATGTATTACGGGTGCTGATTATGCAATGTTGTGAAATGTTACAAACTTTAACAAAAACATTAAAACATCCTGTTGTACATGTACATGTATACACACATTTAAATTTCTTGTAATGTAGTTTTAAATGTCATTCATACACTAAAAATAACACAGTTGTCTTTCATTCATTTTCTTCCCTCTGCACAGGTGACATTCACGGTCAGTACACAGATCTACTTAGGTTATTCGAGTACGGCGGTTTCCCACCCGATTCCAACTACCTTTTCCTGGGTGACTACGTGGACAGAGGCAAGCAGTCCCTGGAGACGGTCTGCCTTCTCCTCTCCTACAAGATCAAGTACCCAGAGAACTTCTTCCTCCTCAGAGGCAACCATGAATGTGCCAGCATCAACCGAATCTACGGCTTCTACGACGAATGTAAGTGTGAACAGGGTATGATGTACTAAACCCTAGTAAAATGATTCGATGGGATTAGGAATTCCAGAGTGTGAACATGGTGTTCATGTCCTAGACTTACATTGATTCCCTGGAATAGGGAATTCTCAAATTTGAACTACAAAGGCTAAAAATAATTTGATGTGCTTTTATTAAGCGTTGCATTTTCTTTTTCTCCAATAGTGTGACTGAAAAGAATAGCGTCTCACCCGTAAGAATTATTGGTACTCTTTTCAAAAAGACAATTTGAGGCATAAAGCACATGGCTTTCCATATCCAGTATCGTACATCGTATGTTCAGTCTTATTGAGAACTATTGGGTTGTAGTCTATTTTTAATGTACTGTAACAACTTGTAAACTCATTGAAATAATGGGAGTTGGACATGTTAATGTGTTTGACTACAGTATCATTGTTTGTTTACACAAATGTGCCATGTACATCTGTATAATGCAATTTAATTAGTGCTCCTGCTTTGTCAACGCTTCAGTGGTTATTATTGCTGTAATAGAAACTAGACATGTACACTCAGTTTTGTTTTGAAACATTGTTGCCTTTAACTAAATTAATGATGATATCACAGCATGTAAATTAATCACTTTTAATAATGAGGATCAAAGTACATGCATGTTTGTTTTTGAATGAATAGGTTTTTGTCTCGCCTGCGCAAAAAAGCGAGACATAGGCGCCGCTTTTCCAGTGACAGCGGCGACGGCGTCAACAATTTTTGATATAATTTTGAAAGCATAAGTTCTTAGTCGATGAAACTTGGACTATAGGCTTATCAAGTATCCCCAATCATGTGAGTAGAATTTCAGGTCACAAAGTCACGGTCAAAGGTCATTTCACGTCAACAGACTTGGACTATGTTGTGGCATCATCAAAAACTTAACCTAAGTTTTGATATAATTTTGAAAGTTTAAGTTCAAGTTAAATTGTTTGTTCAAATTCCATGAAACTTTTACCCAAGGGTTATCAAGTATCACAAATCATATGGCACAAATTCCAGGTCACAAGGTCATAGGTCAAAGGTCATTTTAGGTCAGTAGACTTGGATTATGTTTTCACAACTTAATATGAGAATTAATAAATCATTTTTCTAAAATTAATTTGTTCATATTTCATTCAATTTATCAATCGTGGTACAATTAATAATAAATAATTCTTCTGATGATTCTTAGTCAATATTCACTTCAAAATGCTGATTATATTCAGAGGATTTGCTAATGGGCCACCCTGCCTATAAATAATATTCCAACTTCAATTTTTCATCATATCGAATTGCGTAATGCAGGCGAGACCGCCGAGAGCGTTTCCCTTGTTTTTTTAAGAGAATTAAACATAAATTGCTTGTTTCTATCTGCCAAGGCTTAAAATGATCGCATGCACGTACAGTACATGTGAAGCTATAAATAACATTACAACATGTAATTGATAATAAAGGCTTTGCTAAGATTTTATGAAGTGATAGTAAAGAATATGATACTGTTTACATGTATGTGTTAATCATTCGTTATACCAGTAGTTGGCAACATATGGGACACAAAATGAACAAATACCTTGGACTTGCCCAGTAACCCCTCAATCCTTCAATATTTCTAAGCAAACAAGAGATTACAATCGTTATGGGTCTTGAGGTACAAAGTACACATTTTCTCTGTGCAGCGGGAAACAGTTTTAACAGGAACATCCTGCATTTTGTTATGCACCATTATGTTGATTGATTGGCATTATGTTCATTTCCTCATTGTAATGGTTATCAATCAATCGATAGATTCAATGACATTTTGAATTTCATGCTAAATAAATTATGCATAATAGTTTGATAATCCAGTGGTACTTATTAAAGCCCAAGATAACTGAGAATGAAACATATTGATAGTGTAACTTGTGAAAATTATTTCCACAGACATGTACACTACATACTGGTAATTGTTTCCTTTGCTCAAGGGTATACACATGAATTTAGCTGGAATACAGTGTATGTGGATACACATGTGTATGATGCAATTTCCTTTATTTTATGTGCGCATTCCTGTAAATGTGGAACAGGATGATGATGTTCTTTTTCATGACATACATACATGTATGTACCTTGTACTATTATAACATAACACAATTAAGGTTCTGAATCATATTGTTCATTCTTGTTATTTTATTTTTACTTCTTTATTTTATATTTTAGGTAAGAGGCGGTACAACATCAAAATCTGGAAAACATTTACAGATTGTTTCAACTGCTTGCCTGTGGCTGCCATCGTTGATGAGAAAATCTTCTGCTGTCATGGAGGTTCGTTAATATCCACAGTTCTGCTTATTTATAACCTATCTTCACTGAGAAATGCTTCTAGCGCCCTGTTCAGAAATGTCATTTTACACCTCCTCAGGAAATTGCCGTTGTAAAACTTTACTGTAGTTGATGATAATGATTCACAGTATTTACATGTACATTACATCATATTTTGGTTAAAAACATTCAAATGTGCATATTTCTATTAGTTGATAGTACAGGTACAGTTGATTATTCTTGGAGATTTTTGTAATTGTTTATTTATTTTTTCTTTGTTTTGTTCTGTTGTTGTTATTATTTTCTGTTTGTTTTACTTTAGAAAATGGCACGCCAAGTTTATATCAATCAGCTTTTGAGCCTAAATATAATCTAAGTTATCTCTTTGATGATCGATCATTTCAAACTTCATAATAATCGGCAGGAGCTTTCTTTAATAATTGTATCTCTTGTCCAGCATGTACATGTAGTACCTAATTCTTTGTCAGTGACTGTTAATAAGAATATGTGACTTGTTCTGATATTTTGCAGGCCTTTCACCTGACCTTCAGTGTATGGAGCAGATCAGGAGAATAATGAGACCAACCGATGTCCCAGAAACAGGTAATGCAGTACATTCAGAATAACTGTCTGGATACAAAGAACACTTAAATACACATGATTCTGCATATGTCACATAAGTCGAATTTTCCTTTAATAAGTGAAGCCAATTTTTTGTTGTTTTACCAAACTATTTGAAAAATATTTTTTGCAGTCCCACCAGATTTGAATTATAAATATAAAGTTAAGTGTATAATACCATAAATTTTCACAAATTGTCAATGACAGCCAAATTTCAGCAAGAAAATTTCTTGGATTGTGATAATTCAATGTTGTAATTCAATCAGTATTCAGTATGAGAATATCTCAAAAGTAAACCACTTGTAAATTCATGAAAGCTTACAGCTTATTGTAGCTTATCCATGTGTATTAGTTTTAATGTGAAACGTGTTTACACCAAACTTACCATACATGGTTGTTATACTCATGGAAAACACTCTTCCAAGATTTAGTCCTTGTAATGTGTTTGTGCTTACAAGTGGAAATGTTTAACTCCAAAAAATCGTTGATTGGACATGCATGATTAATAGAGCATTACTTTCAATTGCTGTACATGTAGTAACAATAGGATGATCCTCACTTGTTTTTCAAAAATCTTTACAGTTTGCAGTCCTTTGAGAGAGTCAAGTGTTGGGGGATTTTAAACAAATCTAACTTAAAGGTACTCAAATGACTTGAGGAAATAGGTTGAAGATTAGTCCAAAATATGATGAAAACAAGATAGCATTGGTGATGACCTGTGGTGATGATATGGAATTTGTTTAAAATTACAATTGTGGTTGTGATTTCATACATTTTAGCAAAAACACATTTATGATAATAAATGGGAAATCTATCCCCTGTTTCATTTACGAAAATATAAATGCACTCATTTTATAGGGAGAGGGCGGTGAGGGAAAGAGGAGAGAAAGAGAGAGAGAGAGAGAGAGAGAGAGAGAGAACATTCCCTGTTTATACTGACAAGTTGGAAGGCTGAACGCATGTGATCATTCAGGATATTCGCTATTTCCTTTCATATTCATGTTATCCAGGAGGCATTCCTGGATATCCATCTGGAACAAATATCCATATACTTAAAACTGGAAAGATTTCGTGGAAACGTAGATCTGTTTACTTCCAGAAAGATCATGCTTTAGATTATGCTTTAATCTTGGGATTAGTATGTACAGCATACCGCTCAAAACCCAGTAAATAGGGACTGGGATATACATGCAACATGTGCAGAATTAACGAGTCTGTTATAGCCTTCCTTATTAATGCCATTTCCCTGAAGTTGTTACCTCCCAGTTCCTCTACAGCAGTACATGATGCACATCCTGTGTCTGTGTAATGAGTCATTACATAATGTCTGTCTTGGGGAGTGAAGGGGGTAGAAGGGATGCCTTAATACTGGTGTTTACAAGAGCAAGGAACTCCCTAATGAATAGTGCATGAACCTTTGTCCTAAAAATAAAGACTTTTGGGGATGACAATTAGGGAAGTGTACACATGTGTAGAGCTAAGGGCTTGAAACACATGGTGTACATGTAGCCTCTGCATTTGATGCATTCAACCGTGTTCATGATTTGATTAAGAAAGATTTTCATATCTATACATGATATTCAAGTGTCTTTTTTTTATACCTCAAACTTCTGCCAGAAGCCCATTACAAGTTTACTGTAAAAGTACATTCACTCTTCACATTCAAATGAATACATACATGTGCTCTCTAGTTCAAATACACCCACACAAGCCTAGGTTGCTATTCACAAAATTGTGGATCTGCTTTTCTGTGAGCCATGCTCCCCATATTTTCCTTTTTTTATATTTAAATAAATTTCAATTGAAAGTATTCCTATACAGTTCACATATGTTTCATGAAAATATATTTAAAGTCCTTTTGTCTTTATAGGTCTTCTGTGTGACCTGTTGTGGTCAGATCCTGACAATGACGTATCAGGGTGGGGCAAGAATGACTGTGGTGTCAATGTTCTATCACACTGCATACATTTATTGAAGAAGGTTTCAATCTTTTTGTCTTCATAGGTCTTCTGTGTGACCTGCTGTGGTCAGATCCTGACAAGGACGTATCAGGGTGGGGCGAGAATGACCGTGGTGTCTCGTTCACATTTGGCAACGACATCGTGGGGAAGTTCCTCAACAGACACGATCTAGACTTGATCTGCAGGGCTCACCAGGTACCCATTATGTTTGCATATTGTTTTTTATTAGATGCAATTCTGATATAGCTCCCTGTAATTGTGATCACGCTTCTCCACATTACTAGATATTTTTCTCAAGCATTTGGAACAATGTTTGGCTTTCTTGTAGCGTTATATCAAATACATATTGTGTAATGTTAATTTGCTAATCTTTACCTGTTTTATAGGCTACATTAGAAAGAAGAAAAACAATGTTAATTACTTATTTGTAGGGTCAATATATAGTTTTGTACTATCAACATGACACAATTTATTTACATGATCTTTCTAAATGAGTCTTGCATTTCAGTGTATGTAATTTTCAACAATTTTTCGTAAAATCACTGGTCCAAACAACCCATTTGTTACATTACTCTATTCATTTGACCTTTAACCAGTTCTTCTTGTAATGTAATGCCATTTCATGAACTCAAGTTTTCTTTAATGTAACAAGCCAACCCTATGAATACTAAAGCCATGAATCAGAACACATATCAAGCCATGTATTTCTCGGTGCTCCTTCATTCTCAGGTCGTTGAAGACGGGTACGAGTTCTTTGCCAAGCGTCAGCTGGTGACGCTGTTCTCAGCCCCCAACTACTGCGGAGAGTTTGACAATGCAGGAGGAATGATGAGTGTGGATGAAACACTTATGTGCTCATTTCAGGTAAGCCCTTCCTCCCTTCCTCCCCCTCTCTCTCTCTCTCTCTCTCTCTCTCTCTCCCTCTCTCTCTCTCTCTCTCTCTCCCTCCCTCTCTTCATCCCTATGGTTGTGTATTTTAATAGTGCAAAATCTTTAGGAAAAGTATGAGAGCTAGTAATGAGCACAAACAGATGAAAAGCTTCTAGTTCATAGTCCCAACTTCTATTACTTTTATGTTATGTTATGTTAATATGTTGTTATATTATAATGTGTTTTGCATGCATACTTTTTTTTAATGGTATAATTCGGCTTAATGGCCTCACCACAAGTTTTCAATGAATATGCTGTTATTATAGTCCTGTCTGTTTTGTGCTTTACAGAATTTCACAGATTTAGAAACATTTACTACTTAAGATTACAAATACATGTTGCAGAATTATATATGTAGAAAATATATAAATTCCATGAAGAGTTTTCAAAGTTTGGTTTGCATGTTGCTAGTAAAAAAAAAATCATTTACTGCTTGATAACCAATGTGGGATTAATTTAATCCAGTGTCTTTTTAAATACATTTCAGATAGCAGAAATCAGTGATATAGATAACTGATATAATAATCTTTTTTCCTGAGCCTCTTGCAATATCATCAATGTTATCTCCCATTGTGATTCATAATCGTAGATCCTGAAACCATCGGAGAAGAAGGCCAAGTACCAGTATGCCGGCATCAACTCCGGCAGACCTGGTACCCCTCCTAAAGGACAGGCAAAGAAGAAGTAGGGTCTTGAACCTTGAACCTGCAAAACCTTTTTGTACAACAGCCCACAAGGGCATGCTCTCCCAATGCAACTGATGGGCACTGTCGTATGGATGCAAGTAATCTCGTTTGTCTGTCATAGGAAAGAAGGCAGCAACAAATTTATGTAGAAATTAAAAGATTTCCTTTTTATTATGATAGCAAGTTAGAAAACATATTGTAAAACCAGAAACCTTGGCAACATTAGAGATTTGGGCATTGTTAATGATGGCCATTCGTGGCAAGAAACTTTGTGATTTGCAGAGAGTCATGTAGTGATTCAATTATGTTAAGACATGAAACATGCAAAATTAGACCATGATTGAATTTTCATGAATGCAATTTCATGCATGCCAAAGTTTCTGGTATTATGGTCTTCACTGGCATGAACGATTGTACCTTTTCAAGTCACTGGTCACATATCTTTCCGTTTACAACCAATATTATTTTTTTCAAGACTTGACTGCCATGAAAATACCAGGAAAGAAATCAATCACAATAAAATGGTATTTGTAAACATGGTTATGCCTTGTGTTTGCATCTAAACTAATACAAAAAACAACAGCAAGATATGCAAAGTACGTTACATAATCCTGTCTGGCATTTCTGTGAGCAGGCAAACATGAATTGGATATGAGTGGGAACAGAGTGGGTTGCTGTATTATAGTAGGGAGGCAGTTGTCGTGACATGAATGATCATATTTACATAGAATAGGTATGTGATCGGAGGGATGCGATCACATTTTGAGTTTGGACTGTGCATATAATGTTATAAACTGACTGCAGTTGAATGAATAAATGTTAATCGATTCTTTATATATCAATTACCTTTTAAGAGACTCACACAATGCAGTTTTTGAGAGATTTTTTTTCTTCATGCTGTGTTTATACATAGATAAAACATGAAATGTGAGTTATTACTTGTAAATAAGAAATAGAGAAAGCATAAACACTGGTATATTTCTGTAGCAGTGCGTTTTTACCGGACTGCGACAAAGTAGGGTTTATTAAGATATTTAAATGTGATATATTTATTAGCTGTGTATATTGATTTCATGTTGTCACTACTTAATATGTAGAGTAAGAATGGTATCAAGTTTTAGTTATACCTTTTATGTGGAGAAATCCAAAGAAGCATGAAAGAATTTAGGGCTTTCTCACAACTTTTATTGCCAACTAATGTATGACCCGAAAAAACAGCCACAATCAGTCAGGTACTGAAAATAATGTATATGACCTTTAATAAATGAAGAGAACTCAGTAGAGTTAGTAGGCATTTCACACTGTTAGTTTGAGATAGAGATAGAGAGAGAGAGATAAAGGAAAAAGACAAATGCAAGTTCACAAGAGAGAAAATAGTCACAGCTGGGAAATTCCTGAATGAAAAGGGGTAGATTGAGGACTGGTATATTTTGATTTGGAATGTCAGATTCTAGACTGGAAAATGTAGATTTACAAAGGAGGCTGGGGAATGACTTGTGAACTTAGCAGTGTGTTCCAGACATGCACTAGATTTGGATAAAAACAAATAAAGTATTCATTCACTTAATGTGGTTGATGGTATTAATTTGTAACATACTAATTATAAAAGACGTTTTTTTTAGATACTTGTGACTTCAAAATCTTTCATTGTTACAAAACAACAAGAATGATTGTTTTACCAAGTATATGTTTTTGTAGTAGTTTTCACTTTTATGTTCCCCACCTTGGAAGTGGAAAAAATGATGTGCCTTGTGTATGTATGTATTGTGAAATTTTATTATCTTTTTCTTCTTCTTCTTCAGATCGTTGCTTGCAGTTCTTGATTAGTCCTATAGATAGAATTTTATTTTGCCCAAATTGTGTCAATGCCTTTTCCCCTTTTTTTCACCTCAATTCTTGGTTTCTGATAAATAAAACAAAATCATGATGAGCCTCTGTGTAGATGATTCTGTGCTTATCCTTTTAAATGACACAAGAGAAATCAGCAGATGCCAATACAGTAGTCAATACAATAGTCATAAGGTGCCTTGTGTAGGGAAATCATATATAGACCCCCATGTTATATAGGAACAATTTTTGTCTACGTTGATCCCTTGATGTGACAGTGCAATTTCTATATGAACATTGCATCCACTAGGGAGAAAAACAAGTTTGATGATATGTGTATTGGAAAAGTAGCTACCTTTGTATAGACATCGGAAGAAAAAACAGCATGTTAGGGAGACATAATAGGTTTTTTTCTTTCCTTTATGGCTTTGCATGAGTATGACAGTGATCATCATGGTTGTGGGTTATGCAGTGAACTTATGACATTCTGGGTGTCTTGCTCACTCAGAGATATGGCTGTTTCATAATAAGCAGTGTCACTTGCAAGTCAGAACCGAGTGCATGTCACACTGCCTCTGTTACAAGCTCATAGAAATTGTCACTCATGGATCACAGCAATAAAGCCTATGAATACTTGGTTTCGTTGTCATTGGAGAACACATGAAGTAAAACCATTTGCTATAAGTTGTGCTTTCATATATATAAAGCCAGTTCTATGCTAGTCCTATGATTATGAAACCTCATCATCTGATGGAAGCCAGAAGGGCATTACTTCTGTTAATTTATCTCGATTAGAGCCCTTATGCTTCTCAGCAGGAGACATTACATCCCTAACTAAGAGAAGACAGACTTACCGATACGTGTGTCTTGTTTACATGTCTGTCACAGAGTTTAGGAGTACCTTATGTACAGATGTCTTTGACCTTTTGTGTTCTATATGATATTTGCTGATGCTTTTGCTGTGCTCATGTATTTCTCTCCTCTTTTTTTTTATACAATGGCATTATTTTGTTCGTACCAAACGTCTTTGCAGATGTCGCGGGGGAAAATCAACAGATTTCTTCTCGACACTTCCCCTTCAAGTCTTGCGTCATCCCGATGTGATTTGACAAGTTATTTTGTATAGTAAGCAATCTGTAGTGAAATGTGGTGGAGTTTGGGACGAAAAATAAATAATTCCTTACTAAAATGCTAGGTTTGATTATATATAGAAATACATAAGTGAGTGAAACAAAGTATAAATGAAGAGAAGATTGTCTTCTTTGGTTTTGAAAAGGACAGCTCCATCATAAGATAGATATTCAAGTTACATTTGACAAAAGGAAGTACATTATATCACTCCCGAGTTATCTATTTCTGAAAGTATTGCGGTGATTCATCAAGAAGAATTTACCAAATGAAAATCTTATTTTCTTCTTTTGTTCAGTATTCTTAATTTTACATTCAGAGTAAGCTTTCGCTGTGTAATTGCCATTTCATTTCTAGTAAGTTCTGTTTTAGTTCTACTGTAAGCTTTTGCTTCGATGTGTGGCTTAAAACACTCTGCTGTGTCCTAGTGTAATTTTATTCATCATTTTGCTTTTAACCATCAGAACCTTCTGAATTTTTCATCCGATGGGCAAAATCTATCCGAGTTGCTTTTCAACTCACACAATGGTGCTCGTTTTATGATGATTAAGAGAGATATATGAATCTTAAGGTTAGCCCTATCATTAAAATTCACATTTGGGTCTAAGAAAGCTTACTTCCAACAAAAATATAATTTTTTAATCGTTATTTATGTTTCTTTAAACAAAATTCTTGGTGTAAAACTCTCCCAGGTGGACCTAGGTTGGTGAATTTATCAATAGAGATCCATTTCAATGGTATATAAGGGTTTGTTGATTAATGATACATAATAAATCAGAAAACGTTTTCATCTTACGTGTAATGTTGTGTGTCTTTATTTCAGGGTATCAATCCCTGGATCAAATCTATAGCCATCTTTATGAGAAATCTCAATGTTATTAGAGCAAGTGTGAAAGAGAGGGGAGACAGAGGGTGAGGGACCAAGACAAATGGAAAAGGACTCAAGGAGACAGAAAGAGAAAATGAGAGAGCAAGCGAGAGAAAGAAAGATAATTTTACTGATTTATTGACGTTTTGAAATGGCTTAGAGTCTTAATAGACTGAGTTTGAATTCTTATCGTGTTTAAGTCGTTTTTATGCAGTTCCATTTTCAACGCCATTACAGTTTAATAAGGGAGTTTACAGATACAATATGCGCATGGGCAGATAAAGGTCATTTGTACCAAAAAGGTAAAATCCACAGAGATGAATACTGGATATGCGCTCATGAAAGTTATGTAACATTATTCATTTATGCACCAACGGTACATTCTATGATACGCAGGTGGAAGTATTCTTTTCAAGAGGGCAAACAAAAGGTATTCTAGCACATCTAGGACTTTGGCAGTTATTATTCTAATATGCTCAAAGTGGAACTTCTCCATGTGTAAAAGATCTGTGGATATTTGGGGTCATTTGTACCATGTAAACTCCCTTATTATTTATTTTGTTTTACGAACTAATGAATTTAAATTTTTTAAAGATCATATTTTCATATTTTCTGCAGTTCAATCGAAAAAAATACCAATTTGCTGCATTATGTTATTTCATAAAAAGGCATAAATGCGACGAGGGTGGGATTCGAACCCACGCGTGCAGAGCACAATGGATTAGCAAACCATCGCCATAACCACTCGGCCACCTCGTCAGATGATGGTGATTATAACCGTTTTATCTCAATTCTGTTAGCTTTCTAAAAATCTAATTTCATGTCGGTTTCATCATCCTAAGTTAGGCTGTATATTATTCGCAGGTATTGCGCCATAAGCCAGTTCGGCGCATGTTTAGATAAACGTCATTTGATATATGAATGCGCATGCTCCTCATGAAAGTGGTTTCACACTTAGCTTCCCTTTTAACTTGACGCTACCCTTTTAATCTAAGTCGGAACTGGGGGTGGATTTATAAACTAACAGCTTTCCCAAAAAATGACGGGTTCATAATTGTCTCTCTCTCTCTCTCTAAGTGCCATATCGTTTGACTTTGACAATCATGCTGTTCCACAACCCTCGGCTCCTCTGTACCACTCCCATCATGCAGTTCTTTCACTCCTCTCTCTTCCAACAATTTCTGCAGACTGTCCATCCAAAGTATCCTCCTTCTTCCCCTTCTCCTTCTTCCCACAATTTTCCCTGTCAAAGCAAGATTCTCTAGGCCTTCTTTACGTGTAATGTGACCCATGAACTTCAACTGCCTAATCAACATCTCATGTATCATTTTCCTTTGCACTCCAGCTCGTGTGAGAACTTCCTCATTACTAACTTTGTCAGTCCAAGGGATTTTCATCATTCTTCTTTAAAACCACATTTCGCAACTTTCCAAACGCTTTTTAGTATCAGAGGCTAGAGTCCATGTTTACTACCATACATAAGTATACTGGGTAGATGTAACAATTCAATACTCTTATTCTGGTCCTCATACTCAATGTTCGATTTGTCAGAATTTTGCCTAACTTTGAAAGAATTTTGCCTAACTTTGAAAATGCAGATTTAGCGAGAGCTATCCTTCTCTTCATGGGTGTCGATCCCGGGGGGGGGGGGATATATCCCCCCCCCCAATATTTCAGGTGGGGGGGATGGCCTGTACAATCATTCACCATCAAAACAAAAAAAAAAAATGAAGAGAAAAATTAAGGATGAGAGCCCGATGAGAGTAGTTAATGGTTATTACTCGCAAGATGACCATCAATATATACATTTTGCTATCTCATTTTCATAATACATACATATATGCGAAGTAAATAAGACAACCGTATATGAGACAAGGATAAATTGAACTCTCGCTCATACGGCTTCATCAGGAATTGATGAATTTATTCAATTTGTTCAATCAACAGCATCATAGAAATGCAGTGCGCCAAATGCAAAGACGCAGCGTCAAAAAGCAACGAGCTAAATGTTAAGCGCGAAGCGCAAAAATAGCAATCTGCAATGCACATCAGACAATCCTGGACAGTGTAAACATAGATGAACTCTGTGACGATTTCGTGATGAGATCGGAGACAAGGAGAAATATTTTCGGACATTAGTATGACTTATAAAATAGTTATGTAGTTGTTATGTTGTTTCCGTTCACCCTTTTTAAAATTCACGTCATTGTATCTTTATTTTTGTTTTTTTCACTCATTTTATTTCCTGATATTTCCTAAAAGATTTTTCAGTGGGGAAACTGAATTCAGACAAGGATTAATATAGAGAACAGTACGACGAATCGTCTTCTTTCTCTAATAATTCAGTAAAAAAGGGCAAAGCTGTTAGGGGGCAACTGAATTCAGACGTGGATTAAGCGTAATAATCAAATAAAAAGGTCAAAGTACACGATACAACAAAGCGTCTTCTTTTACGAATAATTTAATGAATCCTGAAAGCTTCCGCGCTAAGCGCGGAATGGGCGAAAATGAATACAGACAAGGATTAAGAGTAATAATTTATTAAACGTTAAAGCTTCCGCGCTTCGCGCGGTAGGGGGGAACTGAGTTCATGAAGGACACGATACATCAAATCGTCTTCCTTCTCTAATGTGAAAGCTTCCGCGCTTCGCGCAGGAATGGGCGAAAATGAATTCAGACAAGGATTAAGAGACGAGAATGGTACATAGGATCGTCTTCTTTCTTTAATAATCTAATGAAACGTCAGAAGGGGAAGGTGAACTTGATTCAAACATTAAGGAATAAGAGTTGAGAATGGTACATCGAATCGTCTTCTGTCTTTAATAATCTAATGAAACGTCAGAGCTTCCGCGCTACGCGCGGAGGAAGGGGAACTTAATTCAAACAAGGATTAAGAGTCGAGAACGGTCCAACGAATCGTCTTATTTAGTGAAACGTCAAAGCTTCCGCGCTTCGCGGGGGGGGGGGGACTCCCCCTCCCTGCACGCAACCCCCTAGGGACCGCGCTTCGCGTGCTCACTACCGCCCCCTAAAATGAAATCCTGGCTACACGCTTGGGAGGGGTGCAACTTGCCACACGCTTCTACCTCTTGATTGCTTTGATCCATTGCCGAAAATATTTTGGCACCTATCATCCCCCCAACCACGGATACAAATCGACACCCTTGCTTCTCTTGATCTCTGTTTCACATCTGGCATCCTCGGTAATCATGCTGCCGATGTAGTTAAATGAGGAGACTTGTTTCAGTTTCAAGTTACATTTTGGACTGCTCTTCTTGGATACCACCAGGCACTTTGTCTTGGTAAAGTTGATCTTTAGTCCCATTCTCTCACTTTCTTTTACAACTACATTCAGGAGTCTCTGGAGATCTTCATAATTGTACTAAGTCAATTAAAAGATATTCAATTTTCATTCTTCTTTATTATACGGTGCGTCGCAGAAAAAACGAAACCGAGAATTATCGATTTTTTAAATAATTTTTTATCATAACTTAATCACAATTATAATTAATAAATGACACATTTTGTAAAGCATAATCCCCCTCTTCGTCTTGATGCACATTTCACGCATGATTAATTAAAACAATTTGAAGAGAGGAAACCATAAATTAATTTGGCGGGCGGTATCTGAATTTCAAAAACAAAATCTCATTTCTAGAAAGTTCATTTTTTCTGCCCTTACATATGACACCTCAATCAGGAAAAATGAGCCAGACATAACGAAGTTCTGTTTGTTTAAAGTAATGCTTGCATTTCCATAATTTGATTTAAGGGCCACTCAAACCAAAACGGGCTAAAATGGGGTTTATGATGGGAAATCAAGTTTCATGTGTTTGATAGTCACTAATTTATTTATAAATCGAAACGTCAAAGCGATCCATATATCAAAGATTGAAGCCGGGGGAGGGGTAACATTTCTATGAATTCGTTTAGCTATGAACAGTAACATTATTTGTACAAAATTGAGTCGATAAACTTTAAATATGGACAATTACCTTAATCGTTAGATATCTACGAAGTTCGTGATTGAAGGCGAAGACCAGCGGTCATTGAACATCCAGCTCAGCTCCGAAGATCTCAGTGCAATTACCACATTCAGTGCAAGCAGGGCATGTGAGTTAAAGTCTCACCTCCCTGGTGCAAGTACCATCACAGTCCATTATGGTATGCAGGGTGGTCGTAAAAGTTTCTGCGCGTGCTCACTTTGTAGGGAAGTTCGGAAAGTGTTAGGAATTGTTAGGAAAGGTTAGGAAAGGTTAGGAAAGTGTTAGGAAAGGTTAGGAAAGTGTTAGGAATTGTTAGGAAAGTGTTAGGAAAGGTTAGGAAAGTGTTAGGAATTGTTAGGAAAGTGTTAGGAAAGGTTAGAAAAGTGTTAGGAAAGTGTTAGGAAAGGTTAGAAAAGTGTTAGGAAAGTGTTAGGAAAGGTTATGAAAGTGTTAGAAATGGTTAGGAAAGTGTTAGGAATCGTTAGGAATCGTTAGGAATGGTTAGAAAAGTGTTAGGAAAGGTTAGGAATCGTTAGGAATGGTTAGAGAAGTGTTAGGAAAGGTTAGGAAAGGTTAGGAATGGTTAGGAATGGTTAGGAAAGTGTTAGGAAAGTGTTAGGAATTGTTAGGAAAGGTTAGGAAAGTGTTAGGAAAGGTGAGGAATCGTTAGGAATGGTTAAGAATGGTTATGAATGGTTAGGAATGGTTCGGAATTGTTAGGAAAGGGGATGACCGTCCAATCTCCGCACTTCACGGCCACCTCGTCTGAATATATTATTTATATTGGTGTAGTTGGATTTGTACAACAGACTGTTTTGTGTAATCGTAATGAATAATGATTTATTTACGATTTCGGCGGCTTGATTATCATTGTTCTTTCTCATATAGTTTGATATAGTTGTGCTGCCACAATCAGTTAAAATTAGAAATGAATGATATCTTTTGAGAAGTTTTCAAACCTTTACGAATTTATAGAAATGTCCCCCCCCCCCCCCCTGCAAACAAGCAAGCCATGGCACTGTTCAATTCAACGCACTTCCTATTAAAAACGCAAGTCGACTGTGATTGGTTGAAAGTTTAAAAAAAAACTTTAAAAAACCTTTGTATTGTCAAAGGGGCTTCAATCTTTGATACATGGATCGCGTTGACGTTTCGATTTATAGATAAATTAATGACTATCAAACACATGAAACTCGATTTCCCATCATAAACTCCATTTTAACCCGTTTTAGTTAGAAAACTTTATAGCAAGTTAAATCACAAAATATTACACACTTTGAGAACCTATAAAACCAATCGATAGTACTACTTGTATAGTTCAAGAAGATTGTATATCAACAAAACTTTTATAATTCTGTATAAGGATATCTTAAGGCCACGAACTTCAATTAACGATTTTAAATTGCACATAATTTCAACATTGTTTGATATCGAGTCATGTTTCTTTATCATGCTTATAAAAGAAACAATTCAATTGCACCAAGATTAAAGAATATATTCAGACGAGGTGGCCGAGTGGTTAAGGCGATGGACTGCTAATCCATTGTGCTCTGCACGCGTGGGTTCGAATCCCATCCTCGTCGCTAGGATTCCGTTTTAGTGATCTTTTGAAAAGTTTTCATAGCTATACGTATTAATAGAAATGTTACCCCCCCCCCCCTGCAAACAAGCAAACCAATAACACTGTTCAAATCAATTCAAATTCAGTATGAAAACTTCTTTCATGAAAACTTTCGTTTTAACGCACCTCCTATTAAAAACGCAAGTCGACTCTGATTGGTTGAGAGTTTAAAAATAAATTTTAAAAAATGTGTATGGGCAATTGGGCTTCAATCTTTGATACATAGATCACTTTGACGTTTTGATTTATAAATAATTTAGTTGCTATCATACACATAAAACCTGATTTCCCATCATTAAAAAAAAAAGATTCTTAAACTGTATAGCAAGTTAAATCACAATATATAACACACTTGGAGAACCTATAAAACCAGTTCAAGAAAATATATTGGGATTGTCCCGGGGATTGCACATCAACAATACTTTCACAATTCTGTATAAGGATATTATAAAGACACTGACTGTAATTAAGGATTTTAACTTGCACATAATTTCAGCTTTGTTAGATATCGAGTTGGTTTCTTTATCATGCTTATAAAAGAAACAATTCAATTGCACCAAGATTAAAGAATATATTCAGACGAGGTGGCCGAGTGGTTAAGGCGATGGACTGCTAATCCATTGTGCTCTGCACGCGTGGGTTCGAATCCCATCCTCGTCGCTAGGATTCTGTTTTAGTGATCTTTTGAAAAGTAATCATACATATACGAATTAATAGAAATGTTACCCCCACCCCCCCCCCCCCCCACCCCTCCTCTGTAAACAAGCAAACCAATAACACTGTTCAAATCAATTCAAATTCAGTATGAAAACTTCTTTCATGAAAACTTTCGTTTTAACGCACCTCGTATTAAAAACGCAAGTCGACTCTGATTGGTTGAGAGTTTAAAAATAAATTTTAAAAAATTTGTATGGGCAACTGGGCTTCAATCTTTGATACATGGATCGCTTTGACGTTTTGATTTATAAATAATTTAGTGGCTATTATACACATAAAACCTGAATTCCCATCATTAAAAAAAAGATTCTTAAACTGTATAGCAAGTTAAATCACAATATATTACACACTTGAAGAACCTATAAAACAAGTTCAAGAAAATATATTGGGATTGTCCCGGGGATTGCACATCAACAATACTTTCACAATTCTGTATAAGAATATTATAAAGACACTGACTGTAATTAAGGATTTTAACTTGCACATAATTTCAGCTTTGTTAGATATCGTGTTGGTTTCTTTATCATGCTTATAAAAGAAATCATTCAATTGCACCAAGATTAAGGAATATATTCAGACGAGGTGGCCGAGTGGTTAAGGCGATGGACTGCTAATCCATTGTGCTCTGCACGCGTGGGTTCGAATCCCATCCTCGTCGCTAGGATTCTGTTTTAATGATCTTTTGAAAAGTATTCATACATATACGAATTAATAGAAATGTTACCCCCCCCCCCCACCCTTCCTCTGTAAACAAGCAAACCAATAACACTGTTCAATTCAATTCAAATTTTATGAAAACTTTCGTTTTGACGCACCAAGTCGGCTCTGATTGGTTGAGAGTTAAAAAAAAACAACTTTGTATGGGCAATGGAGCTTCAATCGTTGATACATGAATCGCTTTAACGTTTCGATTTATAAACAATAATATTTATTGGCTATTATACACATAAATCCTGATTTTCCATCATTAAAAAAGAATATTCTCAAACTGTATAGCAAGTTAAATCACAATATATTACATACTTTGAGAACCTATAAACCAATCGATAAAGGATCTCACATTCTCATTCATATTGTCCGAACCTCGTTAGTCTTCTCATTCTGTTATATCCCAAGTGGCCACTCAATAATCATTCTTTTTCATCTTTATATATCAAATTGAAATCCAACTACCACATACATCTGCATCCCTCTTTCTTTTTTTCTTCTTTTTTCTGTCTTTTTCCCTTTTACCAATATTTTTTCCTCCATATTTGTATTATTATGTATCCATAGAGGGTAGTCATGCTATCAAGCTTTGCTTACTTTGTCAACCCTCCTGTTTTCGATTAGTTAAAGCCAGCCTTACTTTATTCTACATAATTATATTCTTTTGTCATGTGTAAATTTGCAATGTTTGTTTGTTATATATTTGTAAAAATGCAAAAGCAAAAGAAAATCAAACAGAAATAAATCAATTAAATCAATCAAATCAAATCAAATATTCCTCGACAAACATTTGAAGGTATTGTATCCATTTTGCAGCCAATATCGAATTCTGTAGAACTTTGCAGGAATTATGAATATGTCACGTAGGGCCCATATATTATTTAAACATTAGCAGTATCCTAGTATTTAAATTATGCAAGGTAACCCGTTTACTTACTAGTCTTCACTGTCAGACACTATTGAGTGAGTGAGTGAGTGACTGACTTAAAAAAATAATAATTTCGATATAACATACGCTGTCGCTCATATAGTTGGAATATTTTTGTTTTACCCCAATTTATGGAATTATTTTGTCAATGAGTTATTCCTAATAAAGATCTAGATAATAGTACACAATCTCAGATTTTATTGAATAATAATTTGCCAGTGTTTGTTTTGCGTATCTACGCCATTGGTCCTACTTATTATCGTTTAATGACAGAGGTAAAACAGTATTCCCTTTTAGTCAGATGTAATCATAAAATGACCAAATATATACTCATCACAAATTTATGTTAACGCATTTCAGTTTATTTATTTCAGCTGAAAATCATAAAACGAATGAATATACATGTAGCATAGAATATGATCGAATTCTTTGAAATAATAACAAATATAGCATTCATATACACTGTTATAGCTAACATCGGGTTAAGGGAAAATATCATATATGTAGATTTATTAATTTTCTGTATACATAAATGAAATGACAAACTAGAAACAATCCTTTTAGCCTATAGTGTATAAGAATCCCTTAAATAACTGCAGTTATCATGGTTATAACGCTCACTCGAAGAACAGATTATAAATTTATTCGTATGCAGATGAGTATCTTACATAAAAAATAATAATTAATTTGCTTTTTTTCAGTAGGTCAATGAGAAATGATCCTTCTCAGATTTCATTCTGACACTTAATCATGGATAGCCTTATAACTAAAACATTCAAGTCAAAGCAAAATTATAATTGGTTTATTATGATGAAATTAAATACAATTGAGAATAAACAGATACTGTAATTTCATTCAGAGATATATTAATTAACCCACTCCTAAAACAACCATATGTAACACTCCATTTAAAGCTCTGTTGTCAAATTCTTTGTTCCCCCTTTTCAAAAAAAAAAGAAGAACTTGTTCAAAACAGTATACAGTGCATAAAACTTGTTATGAATAAAAAGAAACGATAACTATTGTTATAAGCTACTGAAATCTTTATTTTGATTGGCTGTGAGCAGATCTTTCATAGACCTGTCAGTTTATTTTGATACAAAAGCTGTATGACACAGGGCTTGAATATTCTAACAAATCTAAAGACAATAGGAAGACTCGTCATGGTGGGTCATCATGCGTGGATGGATGAAAGCCGCGAGAAACGGGTAAAATTGTAAGAATATATTGAATTATATTATCACAATTTTGATATATTTGTGTCTTAAGCTCTGTTATGGCACAGGAAATATGCATCAATCATGTAAAAAAAAAAGGTTAAAAAAAAACGATGGCATACAAGTCAAATCGAACAATGCCTAATGTATTCATATAAGCCAGCGTTTTTCAACCTTGTTATAGTCGCTACACCCTTTTGATAATTTTTTTTCCGCGTCACCCTAACCCCAAATTCACTTCAGAAGAAGTATTTTCCATCACTCTGGTATTAACTGGCCATCAAATGCCATGTACACACGTACGGACACAATTTGTTTCTAAAATTTGTTAACGAGATAAGACATTTTATTATGTATGCGGGCACCTTGTTGCCCAATGAATTAATACAAAAGTCATATATTAGGTCACCTCACTGCAGGAATATAAGTATGTTCGGGTATCTCGTTCCCAGAATCATCACGTTTCTAAATGTTCTGTACAGTGAAGCGAACAAACATGGTAAAAATGTAATTTGGATATCTAAAACATATAAAATATATTCGGGCACCTTGCTGCCCGAATGTGACGATATTCGGTTACCTCGCTGTCGTTGACTAATCATGTGGGTATTAAGGCACTTCACTCCTTAAAACCATATTCTTTTTTTTTTTTAAGCGAGTGAGCGAAGTGAGCAAGGAAAAATGACACTTAATTGTCTTTCTTGATGAAAATAGATAGCGGTTTCTGATATTTTGTTCTCACGAAATTGGCGTTAATTTCATCATAGATCAAAAATAATAGATATTGATTTAGTTTTTCTCGCGACACCCGAAAAGATGTCCTGTGGCTCCCCGATTGAAAAACGCTGATATAAGTAATCGCAGTCGTGTTATAAGACCCTTCGGATTAAGAGTATGGAGCAACGATTATCATTATTATTATTATTGTTCTAAAATTTAGTGTTGATTTTATAAAGGTTAAGCTTAAATTATGACCTACTAGGTGATTAATGAGCAACGTGTAATTTAAAATGTGTTCTATTGACCTATGCTTTATGTACTGTATATACCTTGTAACCAATAACCATGTGCAAAAAGAATTTCCATTTAATGTGGACAATAAAGCAAATCAATCAACCAAGTCACATAACAAAGGTTGATTTCTCAATACCATCCGGTAGATTGGTATCATACCCGAGCGTACTCGCGAAGTATTCCGATTCGTACTTCGGTGAATTTCGAACGTACTCCATATATTCCGGTGCCCCTGGTATGACCATGTTGTCCGCAACGACTACGGTTCCAGTCTTCAGAAGTTCGTGCTTTTCGAGGAGGATGAGATCGGGTTTGTACAAAGATTTTACGTGATCAATGAACACGTAATCAAAAGAGGCAATGTCGAAGTCGTCTTTGAGATTTGGAATGACTTCGGTAGAAAAACCTTCGATGATTTGGACCTGAAACATGACATAGAAAAGAAAACAATGTGTTGTAATTATAAAGAGAGTTCAACCGAATTGCAAATGTTTTTTGTTTTTTTAATCATCGATCCACTTTACAAAACGTGCATTAGACCAAGGTGTCACCTTCAGGTTTGTTTGCCGGAATGCCATACGTTGCATATAATTATACGCGGTGTCATTTCGATTGCGTCATTTACTTTGCTAAAGCATTCAAAGACAATCAACACATGCGTCGTCTTTATTCTTCTAAATTTTCACCTTCCCTTGAAGTCTTGTCGTGTGTGTACGATGTCGCTAATGCATTCATACGTCATCTAAATGACGCCTGTGTGCCTTTTCTCGGCGTTTCCAAAGTAAGTTTCGCTTGAAGGGAAGTTTTCGCTGTCTAGCTTTAAATATTAATTGTACTCACCACTTTAATGGTTTATTGCACTGTTTGTTAAAAGGAAGTAAATGTGAATTTCCGTCATTCCTTTATATTTGTGTGACCTTGTTGCGGCACAAATTTTCGACGGCGACAATTTGTGCTAGTCTTGCTGAGTGCAATTTTTGCCTCCCTGTCGACAATTTGTGCCGGGAAAACAGAAGCTGGCGGCACAAATTGCCACCAGTTGCTTAATATTATGTAGCGTAGCGGTGAAGATACCAACGATGAGAAACAGGAGTCGTGACTGGGGGTGGGGGAGGGGAAGGGGACTGGGGGAGATATCATACACCCCTCTCCCCCAAAATGAGGTGGGGTGGGGAGATGATCTGAAGTATTATTCCCCTACATTTGAAAGTTGATAAGCAATGATGATAGTAATACTACTGCTATTGTCCACGCCGAACTAAGTTCTCAAAAGGACTAAGAGACGAGTGTGTGTGTGTGTGTGTGCGTGTGTGCGTGTGTGCGTGTGGGTGTGGGAATGTGTATATATATGCTTTTTCTCTTGTTTTTCTGCAAATTATTTTTGGAGTGGACTAAGCCTTTAAACTCTTTTTATGATAATAAACACTTTCTCCATTTACCACATCTTGTAATCCTGCAAATTCGATCATCTTGTTCGCAGTAGCAGCTCGAGTTTCGTCAGGCTCCACACTTAAGTAGAGCGATCCTTCCGGAAGATCCCGAGCGGCGTTGATAGCCGAGTAGCCGATTAAAGTGCCGAGCTCCAGACACGTCTTCGGTTTCGTTTCTTGCACGATCTTCCTCACGATGGGTGCTGGTATGACAGAGAGAGAGAGAGAGAGAGAGAGAGAGAGAGAGAGAGAGGGGGGGGGGGGGGGGGGGGGGGGGGGGGGGGGGGGGGGGGAGTCAGAGACGTGCAAGGACAAAAATACTACGATAACAAAGTGAAGAGGGTCGTTTTGAAAAGCATGATGGATAGCGAGATTTTGGTATTTATATCCAAGTCACTGTACTAGATTATGTTAAATGCCATATAAACAACAAGACAACATGCTTTAAGGTCATTATAAGACAAGGATAATGAATATCGGACAACATGACAACATCGTGTAGGGGTCGGAGCAACCACGCCCTGGAAAGAATACAGCGCGACCACAGAAAGCATTTGGGCGAATCAATTTCATGCCAGCGTTCATTCCTTTTGTCGTGCCAGTCAAGAAGAATCAGGCATAGATCATTAATGCGCTTGACAGAACCAAACGTTGTCTCCAACCATTGCTAGAAACTTCTTGCTCCAACTGATGGGGGGGGGGGGGGGCATTGAAAACTTGGGTGGATGTGTGTGGGGGAGATATGGTGGGGAATCGACAACATAATTTCATGGGGTTTTATATAGTGCGCGTTCAAATATTGCAATTTTACTTCAAAATAGAGTTGAAGAGGCTTGATAATAATAAGTATATTCGATCAATAAAATTTGGTTAAACCTTTTTCGTCACCGAGGCAGAATGTCCGTTTCTGTTCACGGTTGAAACGATCCAACGCCTTCATGATACTGTCTGGATCTCCCCTCTGCGCATGCTCAGTGACGTATTGATAGGTCCGATCGGTCAGCCGCCCATACAATCGGTCATACAATCGCGCCAAGACCCCTTCAAGGTGAACAGAAGAGAAAAAGATAGAGAGAGAGAGAGAGAGAGAGGGAGGGGGGGGGGGAAGAATGTGCTGTTGCCTGTTACCAATTGTACTGATACTGGACATAGGTTAATTGATGTAAACATTTAATAAAAAGAATAAACTACTGAATAAAGGAGGTTCTTTTTAATACATTTATACAAAATATACATGTAAATGAATAAATGAATGAATTAAAAAATTTAAAAATTACAGTTAGGCTACAAAGTACAAGGGCAACCCTACGTGCCGTGGGTGAGGGGGCGGGGCGAGGGCGGGGGCGGGCGCAGGTTTACCCGCCGGTGCAACCTTGAACTGGATACCCCATTTATATAGATGTCTGATCATAATAGCGGATACATGATGCCGTGTGCGTGACAAAATATGCTTGTTTACCGTTTAATTGCATTCTGTAAATGAAAGAAAGGCTCATGTTCAACCGATTTCATAACAAAAATAGAACGCTTCAAATCTTTGTATAACAAATTACTATAAACGAAAGAAACACTAAAATGCAGTTGGTGATCAATTATTTTTGTTCCGGTTGTCCAATCATGCATATCCATTGTATCATTATGGTATTGGGGTCAAACTCCATCTTCCTACGAAGCTAGTCCACTCTTTTATATATATTTTTCCAAAATCCATTTTGTAAATTAATTTATTTTCATACTCTTAGGACATAATATGACGAGGATGTAGCCCACGAACCCGATACTACAGGTGCTCCTATATAACAACTTTTTTTCTGGGGTTTTCACTAAGTTCGACAATACACCGGACCGAATATTTGTCCATCTTCCCTTATGCTTTTCTAACTGAGATGAATACATTATGCTGGAAGTGTTCCATCAGGTTTATAGAAAAGAAAAACAAAACTCCGGCGTATAAAATAATAATCCCACAAAAAAAACCACCCATGCGATCCTCCTCCCACCATATTTGCTTGATAATCAAGAAGTTATGCTGGTATCTCCTTGATATAATTACAACCCATGATCGTTCTTTTGTAAAATGTTATACTAACGGCATGAAGGTATTTAATCTCTGACACCAAGGCCAAGTGAAACTAGTTTCTCGTGTTCGAGTTTTCTTTTTAGGAGGGGGCGGTTCCTTTGTAGTTGATATTTAATTTGTTTTTCTTCTGTACAAGCAACTGCCAAATGGATCAATTTGAATTAAATGTCGTTTCGGCTCAATACAACTTAACAAGATAAAATGGCAATAATAATGATTTATGTTATCCCATTCACTAGATGTCCCCACATTTTTTAAATAAAATCTTAATTTCGAAATAAACATAGCAAATTAAAAATACTAGATAAAATAAGTTTGTGCGGCAATTTCACACCAGGCTTTTTACATTCAAGTTCATATTCCGAGCATTGAAATTCGCACAAGTCGCACTCGCAGCGTCGAATTTTATTTATGTATTTATTTATTTCTAATCTTTTGTTAGGCTAGCCCATTCACCGATAAGTAGTGTTTTTCCATGGGGCCCTGAATAAACATGAACATATTTACATCAAAAAGCATTATAACGTTTATACAGAACAGTTAAAATAAAATTCCATAGTACATCTAGAAAGATATAACACAGCAATAATAGACGTGGCTCAAACGAATACTCGTTTGCAAAATAGCCATATATCATTAACCTAATTCAACTGTAATGCCAATAGGAAAGTAATGATTAAGTCGCAATTAGGTGAATAAATCACGTTAATATTACACAACATTCACGTAGGGTTTGTTTTACTGAGCTATTCACAAATTACAACTTTGTTTAAACAATCTCTTAAATGAATTGACGAGGAAGCTGTTCTCATCGAATTATCTAGCTTATTCCGTTCAAATATAGAAGAAACAATAATTGATTGGGCTACACTTATAACAATCAGTGTGAAATCTGGGCACACGTAAACATCCACAGTCTATTTGCATTGTATATACATCATTAGGATTGATTCCAGCCACCCCCCCCCCCTTTCAGCAAAAGTACGGTGTGTAAAGTCAATACGGGTCGACCTTTTTCTTTTGTTATACGAGCCTTTTTCAGCACCCCTCCCCCTTTTCAGCAAAAGTCCGGTGTGTAAAGTCAATACGGGTAGACCATGTTTTCCTTTGTTACGAGCCGGAGAGTTTGGGAACACGCATGGTATCCCTTCGTTCACGGAGTGGGGGGGGGGGATTGATTAAGCCCGTAACTACGGGGGGTGGGAGGGCCACCCCAACATTTCCAAGATTGGTTGATTTTTTTTTTAGACCCCTTTTTTTTTTACCTCGATTGGTTACATTTTATGTGTAACAGTGATTAACAATAATTAAAAGTAATTAAAATTTAAAGATTTCAAAGTTTCCCTCTTATCTGGAATCCCTCTCAATATTACACTAAATTGAACTGCACGTAGTAGAAAATTGATCACTTTAAAAACAAAAAACGGAATGCCCCAAACAGGCTCATCATGAGCGCCGCGTTAATGTGAATGCACGAATTTGATTTCACCGAACATGAATTAGAGTGCCGATCAATGCAATTGTTTGCTCGGATTTTGAATTTGAATACACGAATTAACCTGCGAGCGACCTTTATGTGAATTTGAATGCACGTTCATGAATTTGAATGAAAAAACCTATTAATTAAAAATAAGGAAGGAGACGAGAAATTAGGAATTAATATTAAATGGCCGATGCATTTCTAATCATTCGTCTCTACTTTCAGAGGTATGTGTATTAAACAGAGGTCTGAGTCCTCGACCTTAAATTTGGTTGATGGAGCTAGCCAGGGGCGGTGCTCCGCTCGGAGCTGACATTAGGAACACAGTCCCCTCTTCAGGTTCGCCCCCCAAAAAGAAAACACATAACAAAACAAAACATGCATTGCATTGTTTACAAACTTGAAAAAATAGATTAGGTCCCGAAGTGCTCTACTGCAAAATACTAGCCTTTTGTGTATGGATTTGAAGTGGAAAATGCAATAGATTTAGCATGTATGTTTCATGAGTGTCATGACGTCATATATTTCATATTGATCAGGTATTGTACCAGGTAAATTGAAAATTGGTAACATTACCCCTGTATATAAGAAGAATGATCTACATACATTAAATAACTATAGACCAATTTTAGTTTTAACCAGTATATCCCAATTGCTTGAAAAGTGCATATAATAGTCGACTATATTCATTTTGTTTTAAAAATAATATTCTTAATGATTCACAGTATGGATTCAGAAAAAAATCATTCTACTTCTCACGCTCTGATATATTTACAAGACATAGTTCTTTCTGCAATCAATGATAATAAATTTGCTATAGGGGTATTTATGGACCTGTCAAAGGCTTTTGACATAGTTAATCATGAAATATTATTATCAAAATTACATTATTACGGAATAAGAGGAGTGCCCTTACAATAGTTTAAAAGTTATCTTTACAATAGGGTCCAATATGTAATGTATAACAATAGTCGTTCAGCTGCATCTTGTATTACTCACGGTGTACCCCAAGGGTCAATCATTGGTCCCCTGTTATTTTTACTCTATATAAGTGACATTAAGAAAGCTGATGAATTTGAATTATGTATGCAGATGATACTACTTTAATTTAAACGCAGCCAAATATTATTGATTTACAAAGTAATGTCAATGATGAATTAGAAAAGATTTCTTTATGGTTAAAATCAAATAGACTATTGATAAAACTTAGTAAAACAAATTATGTAACATTCCATAATACGACTTGTGAAATAGCTAATAGACTAAGTGGTCTCATTCTCAAAATTGATAATATCCCGTTACTTAAGATTGATACTGTTAATTTTCTTGGTGTACTTATAAAGTAGTAATATGCATTGGGATACACATAGATTATTTAATAGGTAAAGATTCTAAATGTATGGGTATACTCTTTAATATGGAAAGATACCATTCCTGCATCCTCTTTGATATTGTTATATAATGCATTTATGATGTCACATTTAAATTATTGTATTGGGTAATAGTAATCACAAAAAAATTGATAAATTATTTAAACTACAAATGAAAGCCCTTAGGATATGATTAGGCTGTCATTATCGTACTCACTCTGTCCCATTGTTTATGAAATTGAAAACACTGAATATATTTGACTTATTCAATTGCCCTGCTTGGATTCTGTTACTTTTAAAATAAACTACCGCAAAATACTTCGAGAATGTCCACTTTGAATAATGACGTTCATAATTACAATACTCGTGGCCGAGACTCGTTTCGTTTTTGGCCAGTAAAGACAAATATATTTTAAATATGTAAGAAACAATTTTCCTGTTATTTAGAACTCTATTGATCCTGAAATATCCTCAAGCAAGTCTTTTACAGTATTTGAAAGAAACTTGAAGCAGCATCTTGTATTTAAATATTAAAGGTTCTCGTACCAACGTTACCTATAACTGTTTTCAAACTTATGATTTTGTAATGATTATTTCCATTCGTATTACTTGCCATGAACGATGTCCCTGTCATGTGTTGTCATGTATGTTTTTTAAAGTTTTTTTTACAGCTATGTAAATCTCTTAAAAACTGTTCGGGAACTGTGCGTCCACAACGGAGGCAATTTGGCATTTTTTTTAGTTCCCTATTTTCATTTTTTTTATAATATTGCAAATGCTTATTATTGTATTGTTTTTATCGGAAATACTTACTATGCTACTTCTATTATACCACTACTACTACTACTAATACTACTACTACACTACTACTATACTTTTACTAAAATACTGCGACTTCTACTGACTACTATACTTATGACCTTATACTATCTACCTCTTATACTATTCTTACTCCGATGATACCATTACTACCTCCAAACCTATTACCCCGAATACATGTACTAGATGAGTTTACTACTCATATACATGTATTAATATTCCTTATACTCTCTAAACAACCGGGGGATGGGAGAGAAACTGCATGTATTGCCGTAATAATATTTAACTAAAATAATACCTCGATCCGGAGCATAGAGGAACGCCGATATCCTGTGGTATAGATACTGAGCCCATGTAAGTTGTGGCACTTGCGATCCTCCACTATCCATGTTTCAAGAATTCGTCGTTTATCTTCTGTATACCGACTGAAGAAAGTATCACAAACCCTCTCAGGCGAGAAGTTTTATTTGTATACTGCAGTGGGCCAGGATATATGCATACTTTGTGTAGATGTAATGTTTCGCGCATTTTAAAAATATATATATGTAATATGTGTAATGTGAAGGCCAACGTTTCCTCGTCACATGAGCGATGGCTGCGGAATATAAACATTTCCGTCAATGGGAGGACAACATCCGCCCAAATATGTGGCATTGCACTTTTTCACAGCCCACGAACGGAATTACCCACTGGCGCACCAATGGTGGTAGGAACGAGGAGGAGGATTGGAGATAGCTCCACGCCCCAAAAGTGGAGAGGAAAAAAAAGAAAGAGAATAAAAAGAAAGAACGAAAAAAAACAAAAAAAAACATAAGAAACAGAATGAAAGGTGAAAAAAGAAGAAATGGGTTTTCCTTTTCACATCTTTTTAACGATTGCCATTTCTTTTCTAATAATTTCATTTGTTCCTGTGTACATGACAGTATACGCCAATCCACCCCTCTCCATTTTGTATGGAATGGTTATGCTGAGTAAAGCACAGAACATCACAATGTCACAGTGTCATTGGTTTGCTTGTTTGCAGGAGGGAGGTAAATAACTATGAATACTTTTCAATTCAAAAGATTCTTAAAAGAAAATTTGACGACGAGGATGGGATTCGAACCCACGCGTGCAGAGCACAATGGATTAGCAGTCCATCGCCTTAACCACTCGGCCACCTCGTCTGAATATATTCATTAACCTTGATGAATTTGCATTATTACAACAGACTGTTTTGTGTAATCGTTACGAAGTTAAAACACCTGTTACCATTTTGGCGGATTGATTATCATTGTATTATCTCATAGTATGATAGAGTTGTGCTGCACGCAATTAGTTAAAAATAGATATGAATAATGTCTAAATATAAAACGTTGTAGGGCCTATGCATGAAAAGCGTCTGTCCTTTACTCTCGGATGTTTTTTCTTCTTTTTTGTTGTATTCAATATATTTTTAATTGTTAGCAGAGCTAACCGATTGGCATAAGAATGTTTAACTGGTGGTGTTAGGAGTATTCAGTTGCGATGAGCTTGCAGAGCTCACTGACCTAGTTCGACACGATACAGGACGGACGTCTAATTGGACATTGGATCGTGATCAGTTGATTTTGTCAGAACTGTCTGCAAGTTCGGGAGGATCAGATGGCTACCGGAGGTTTGGAAGGGATGGATGTATTGGTGAGAACATCAGGATGCGGAATCTTCCGGTGAGGTTGGGTGCATACCCATCTTTCGGTAAGTCGTCTGTACAGTTCTTGCTCGTCGAAGCCGTCTTGCCGTCGAAGCTTGGTGCTCCCCAGGACAGGCGCGGATCCACGGGCTCAATTCTACCGGCCCGGCTATGGCAAGCCCATTGTGTAAAAACTAGATAAACTCAGTTTATCAGAAAAACTGTGTTTATCAATGATAAACTCAGTTTATCAACTGATAAACTGAGTTTTTCTGATAAACTGAGTTTATCAACTGATAAACTGAGTTTATCAACTGATAAACTGAGTTTATCATTGATAAACTGAGTTTTTCTTGATAAACTGAGTTTATTAACTGATAAACTAAGTTTATCAACTGATAAACTGAGTTTTTCTGATAAACTGTGTTTATCTGTTGATAAACTAAGTTTATCTGAGAAAAACAGAGTTTATCTGAGAAAAACAGAGTTTATCTAGTTTTTACACAAAGGGCTTGCCATAGCCGGGCCGGAAGAATTGGGCCCGTGGATCCGCGCCTGCCCCAGGATACAAGTATATTATGTATTATGTAACATGTACATGTATTGTTTTTCAGATTATGCTATAGGGTAGGGAGGCGAAATTGAAAACAATTTATTCACGTTATAGGGAATCAGAAGGTTTTTTTTCCAATTTTACATGTACAAGCATATATTTACTCAAATTTGGGAGCATTTTCAAGATTTCTTTTTCCTTTAAAAAAAAAGAGAATATTCCATACTGTATTCATCTTAACCATTAACTCTTTCTTATATAATTATGTATGAGAAAAATCGGACTGAAATAAACTAAACCAAAAAAAGGTAAAAGGGAGAGGGGCATACAATTCCGAAAATCCTTGAGGGTTATCATCATATTTTAATGTGCTATTGGGATCTGTATTTAGGAGATAGAGGTACATTTACCTTCGTGTACTTGGAAATGCTAGTAGAGTATTTGAGTTTTAGAGTCCGGGTATACAGGCCAGTGGTGCTACTCACCAAAACAAAAGTCCCCCAGTACTAGGGCTGAGTGTATGCCAGCCAAGGATTCGAACTCTCAGCCTACCTCTTCATCGCAAATGAAGTGAATGAACCACTATACGACAGATTTAGCAATGATCCTATTCAGTGGCATTGCGTGAGTCCGCCCATTGAGGGGGTATGGTGAAGCGGGAGGGAGGGGGTTTTGGCCTTACTCGGAAAATGAAATGCGAAACTGAAGATATTAATTAGGGGGAGGATGCGGGAGTTGGTCCAAGCGTCTTCTTTTCTCGTCCTTTACCCTTCTCCCTTTTACTTTCTCTCTTTCCTCGCATCTTATTTATTCTTTATTTTTCATCATTCGAAGGAGGGCGGGGGCGTACCCCTGTGCCTCCGGTACCTACGCCATTGGTTCTACTTATAATTATTGTCAAAATAATGTCAGAGATAAAACAGTCCTCTTTTTTAGTAAGATTTAATCATAAAATAACCAGATATGAACTCATCACAAATTTATGTTAACGCATTTTAGTTTATTTATTTCAGCTGGAAAATCATAAAACGAATGAATATAGCATAGAATATGATCGAATGCTTAAAAATAATGAAAAATATAGCATTCATATACATTCTTACGGCCAACATCGGGTTAAATGGAAAATATCATATATATCATGTAGATCTGTTAATTTACTCGATACATAAATGAAATGACAAACTAAAAACAATCCTTTAGTCTACAGTGTATATTGAATCCCTTGGATCCGCGGTTATCATGATTATAACGCACAACGAAGAACAGAATATGACAGAACATAAACATTTATTCATATACAGTTGTGTATTCTTATATAAAAATAAAAAGATATTTGCTTTTTTCAGTAGGTCAATGACAAACGATTCTTCTCAGATTTCATTCTGACATTTTCTGGTAAAAATAATGTAATTTAATTATGCATAGCCTTATAACGGAAACATGTCAAAGTAAAATTATAATCGGTTTATCGTGATGAAATTAAATACAATTTAGAATGAGACCCTTTGGAGGAAGAGCATCAAACAAAGGTTGATTTTTCAATTCCATCCGGTAGATTAGTATACGCTAACACACTCGCGAAGTATTCCGATTCGTACTTCGGTGAATTTCGGACGTATTCGATATACGCCGGAGACCCTGGTATGACGATGTTGTCCGCAACGACGACGGTTCCAGCTTTCAAAAGCTGGTGCTCTTCGAGGAGGATCAGATCGGGTTTGTACAAAGATTTTACGTGATCGATGAACACGTAATCAAAACTGGCGATGTCGAACTCGTCTTTGAGATTTGGAATGACTTTAGTGGAAAAACCCTTGATGACTTGGACCTGAGACATGAAATGAAAAGAAAAATATTGTTTAATGAACTTGGATTTTTGAGATTAAGAGGAGTTCAACTAAATTACAACTAATCGTTCGTAAGCCATCCACTAAAACCTTTAGACGTGTTTTGCCGTTTTATTTGATGTGCCATTTTGATTGGGTTATTATCTTCGCTAATAAAGTGTTTAAAGACCATCAACCTATCTACCAGTATCTTGTTTCCATTGATTTTCTGGCCTTAATCTTTGTATAGGCGCTTCAAAGACCACACCAGTCACGACAGTCCTGCGTCAGCTTATGCCTAGGTCATTTAGCTCCACGGCTAGGATACCGCGGCCGTACGCCCCCGAATTCGAGAGATACTTGCGGCGGCCGCAGAAGATATGCGGTGGCCTCAGGGTCACCCTAGGGCGTATCCCTATCTTTACAGGCTGTACGGGTCGCCGTGGGATTATAACGCGGATTTATGACCGTTTTTCATGTCTAGTTTTGCCGTAGCGATTAGACACGCCGTAACCATGCCGTAGAGCGGTTCCATGGCGACCGAAAGTCAGCCGTACGGTAGTCTTGCGTTTTATATACCCCAGGGGTGAGGCGGTAGCATCAGTCTGACCGCACGGTCGCCGTATGGTCCCCCTTCGGCCGCCTTGCGGGCATCTTTCGGCTCTCTTACGTCTGCCGTAGTATTTGTCAAAAAGCTACGGCCGCCGCAGGGACGCCCCTTGGACCTACTAAGGCGACCGAGCGTAATGTCTTCAAAGGCCGTACGGCAGTCGAAAATGTTGTGTCTCCACAAATTCAAAATACGCCGTGCGGCTTCCCCAACATAATGTGACCGCTACCGTGTGTGACCGTGGCAATGCTGCGGCGGTTCTTAAATTGCTATTAGCCGTAGATATTTTAGACCGCACGGCCGCCGCAGCAAATGTGACCTAGGCATAAATGACGTCTCACGTGCAGAGGGCGTTACTGTCCCTTTTTGGCGTTCCAAAGTTTGACTTACAGAGAAGTTTTTGCCTTCTATAGCTTTACGTATTTAGTTTACCCATCACTTTTAAATGGCTTAACATTGCACCGTTTGTTAAAAGGAAGTTAATGTGAACTTCCCTCATTCTATTATTTTGCATGAAGGAAACTTAGATTGCAAAACATATTGTAGAAGGCATTCTGTTTCAATATGACATGCGTTACTATCTGATAGCGAATCAGTCGACGACATCAGGGAAAGCATCAAACAAAATTTTTAAAAGTCAACTACATGTACAGTAATCATGGGATTTTTTTCCTTTAAAAGACACTCGTTGATGAGACTGCGATGTTAATGGTTTGATGAATCACAGCATTAAAGTTGTCTCGTGACTATATCCTAAAGTACTGGAATTAGTTTGTCACATTCACACCTTAAGGCTTAAGTCCTTGTCATGATAATTAACATTTTCTCCATTACCACATCTTGTAATCCTGCAAATTCGATCAACTTTCTTGCAGTAGCAGCCCGAGTTTCGTCAGGCTCCACACAGAGGTAGCGCGATCCTTCCGGAAGTTCCCGAGCGGCATTGATAGCCGAGTAGCCGATGAAAGTGCCGAGCTCCAGACACGTCTTCGGTTTCGTTTTCTGCACGATCTTTCTCACGATGTGTCCTTGTATGACAGAGAGAGGGGGTGGGGTAGAGAAAGAGAGTGGTTTTAACTCTTATAATGCCACAGGGCTAATCCCCATTGTGCCAAGCCCCAAATCCCCCGTGTCAGGTTGTTTTGGAGATAATCTGATTAACGCCTTGATTAGCAGTGAAAAACACACAGCACAGTCCAATGAGCATGAACAATAACTGCTATTACGAATTCTGCATTGCACGCACATGGCACTCAAGCGATAGCTCTCTCGCATGGACTAAGCACAATAACGATAGCGTGCATGTAGCCTTATGGCAGGCTATGAGTTAAGTGAGGGGAGTGCGCACTTATAATGGGACAGCGACGCAGAAAGAAAGGGACAGAGCAAAAGAGAGATGGCCGGCGTCGACAAAATACAGTCAAAGAGAGTGTGAGAGAGAGAAAGAGAGAGAGAGAGAGTGTGTGTGTGTGTGAGAGAGAGAGAGAGAGAGAGAGGGAGAGAGAAAGAGAAAGAGTCATAGAGCCAGAGACTTGCAAGGTCAAAAATAATACGATAAGGAAAATGAAGAGGTCCGTTTTAAAAATCATGATGGATAGTGAGATTTGGGAATTTATACTATACTAGATTACATAAAATGCCATATAATCAACAAGATGAAAGAATTTAAAGCGGGACTGCACTACTGGTAGCTACTTGCGCCCTCTATATTTGGCAATCAATGCCTAAACGGTACTCGTTGGTCCCCCATGATCCCCTTTTCCTATGTTAATTGAGAGCTGATTTGATGAGATAACCACCTGTTGGTGACCATGCAGGGAGGTCTAACCCATCCTGGCCTAACTAGTGCAGACAGGCTTTAAGGTCATTATAAGACGATGATAATAGGGACTTTTAGATGTGCGTGGACGTGGACGTGTGACGTCCTTTGAAGGCACTGGCAGTACCTTCAAAGGATGTCAGACATTGCAGTCCACGTTCCCGTCGTGCAAATCTAAAAGTCCCTAATGAACATCAGACAACACCCAGGAAAGAATAGAGTGCGACCACAGAGAGCATTAGACGAACCATTCACCTCCCTGGACATACGAAGCGTAAATTCGTTTTGCGTCAGTCAGGAATTAGCTTCAGACATAGATTTATGCGCTCTACAGACCCAAACGTTATCTCAAACATAAAAGCTGGGGTGTTGCGTGATTCTAGCCATTGAGGGGGGGGGGGGGGGGGGTGGGGGCTATGGTGGGGGCATTGACCAAACTTGACAAGCGCGTTATATTGCAATGTTACTACAAAATAGCGGAGTTTAAAGCTTATCTGTACTAGTTTATAGGAGGGATTAGACCTCACTGCAAGGTCACTGGACAGGTGGTTATCTCATCAACTCAGCTCTCAATTAACATAAGAAAAAGAGGGTCATGGGGACCAGTGGTCACCGATTAGGCATTGCTTTCTATATAGAGGGAGCATGAAGCTACAAGTAGGACAGTGTGGCTTTAAAGCTAATCTTGAGCTCTGGTACTCGTATGCCGAGAGAACATGGCTGTAATATTCATTCTGGATTGTTTATCCTGCAGTAGATAGTTTGTAAAACCAGTAAAATTAAAACGACCTCACAGAAACTTGCTGGAAATCATCTTCAATAAAAAATTAAAAAAACACAACTCTATTAATGTTGCACATAGCCATATGACCTGTGTTAAGCACATTATATCGGGCCTACCTCCCTTGATTACCTTATCTTTCTATGCTCATTACTCAGCCCCTATACATTTTCCACCAACATTGTTTGGCTCATGTCATCTATTTGTAATCTTGAACATTGATTCAGTGTAAGTTTTGTTGGATTCTGTTAGAATTTATTCTCTATCATTACCAGAACTCAAGTTTATACTTCAGGAGTTTGATACTAATAAATACATTCGATCTATAAACAAAATCAATACCTTTTTCGTCACCGAGACAGAATGTCCACTGCTGTTCACGGTTGAAACGATCCAACGCCTTTATGATACTGTCTGGATCTCCCCTCTGCGCATGCTCAGTGACGTATTGATAGATCCGATCGGTCAGCCGACCATACCATCGGTCACACAATCGCTTCAAGACCCCTTCAAGATGAACAGAAGAGGGGGGGGGGGGGGGGAGAGAGAGAGAAGAAGAAAATTCTGTTATCAAGTGTACTGATAATGGACATTGATGTAAAACTGAATAAATGACTGAGTAAAGGAATAAATATATATAAAAAAATAAAAATCAATCAATCAATCAATCAATATATAGATAGATAAATAAATTAACTTGATATGAATGAATAAATAATTTAACAAATAAATACATTATATATCGGCTAACAATGGCTGCCCTGTGTGCCGTGGAGAGGGGGGGGGGGTGCCGGGCGCGGGTTTGGAAAGAATACTAAGTCTTTTACATGTACACTTTTTACTTGAAGAAAATAGATTAGGCCCTAAAGTGCTCTAGTGCAAAATGATAGTCTTTTTTGTGTATGGATTTGTAGGGGGAAATGCAATAGATAGCATGTTTCATGAGTGTCACGACGTCATAGAAATAACTACATCGATCTACTTATATACTAACTATGCTTCTACTTCTAATGCTGCTACTACATATTGTACCTGCAGCCCAGCAGCACTAATATTATTCATGATGCGTTTGACATCGTTCTTTGACGCATTTCCCAATGCACATTAAAATCACCTGAAATTATCAACTTTCCTGGAATCAAAGAGGTTTTACTAATAAATAATTATTCATCAAACTCGGTAAGGAAATCAGACAGAGTTAACCTGTTTACAGCTGATGGAGGTGGTCTGTACACAACAATAAAATGTACTGAACTTGAAATATCTGTAACATGAACATATTCAAAAGTTGAAGAAGCAAACTCTTCCTTCGTCTTTTTCATTTTGAGTGGTGTTTTGAATAATATACCGATACCCCCTCCACGAACCAGGTGGTGTACTACGTCATACGCTTCACTTAACGTCTTAACCATGTTTCGGTTATAAACAACATATCAATATCATAGGCCTATGTTATTGTACATAGTTTGTACATACTCTGCTATGAAGCATGGACTTTAGCCTCTGATACTAAAAAGCGTTTGGAAAGTTGCAAAACGTGGTTTTTAAGAAGAATGATGAAAATCCCCTGGACTGACAAAGTTAGTTATGAGGAAGTTCTTACACGAGCTGAAGTGCAAAGGAAAATGATACGTGAGATGTTGATTAGGCATTTGAAGTTCATGGGTCACATTACACGTAAGGAAGGCCAAGAGAATCTTGCTTTGACAGGGGAAATTGTGGGAAGAAGGAGTAGGGGAAGAAGGGGGATACTTTGGATGGACAGTCTGCAGAAATTGTTGGAAGAGAGAGGAGTGAAAGAACTGGGAGTGGTACTAATACAGAAGGCTAGGAACCGAGGGTTGTGGAACAGCAGGCGCGTACGCAGGAGGGGGGGGGGTGTTTTGGGGTTAACACCCCACCCCCCCCCCCCCCTTGAGTTTTTTTAATGTGTGTGTTTTGTGTATGTTTTTTGTGAAACCCCCCCCCCCCTTTTGAGTTTTTTTTTTATTATTTTTTTTTTTTTTTATTAAAAAAATTTAAAAAAATTATGCCAATGGCTGACCTAAAAAATGGTGACCTTCCCCCCCCCCCCCCCAACGGAACAAAATGTCAAATTTTGAAATTTCGAGACAAAAAAAAAGAAAAAGAAAAGTGTTCTCCTAAACAAAGAATAACATAAGAGAAGGTGATAGAAGGAAAAAAACAAGGAATAACATAAGAATAGAAGGAAGAAACACAGAATAACAGAATAGAAGGAGGAAACAAAGAATAACATAAGAGAAGATGATAGAAGGAAAACACACAGAATGACATAAGAATAGAAGGAAGAAACAAAGAATAACATAAGGAAAGACAGAAAGAGAAAGTGATAGAATGATTAAAACAGAGAATTACATAAGAAAATGTGATAGAAGGAAAAAACAAAGAATAACATAAGAATAAAAGGAAGAAACAAAGAATAACATAAGAGACGGTGATAGAAGGAAAAAATAAAGTATAACATAAGAATAGAAGGAAGAAACAAAGAATAACATAAGGAAAGACAGAAAGAGGAAATGATAGAAGGAATAACATATTAACGGAACAGGCCACGATAAAGAGCATGGCATAGTGAACGCAAATTGCATGAAAAGCAGGCGCGCGGTTTTTGCCCAAACCGGAACAGGCCACGATAATGACGCCATAGAATCATGATTGAGATCTCCGTTCGTTCAAACGAATTTTAGCGACCGTGATTCTGCAGAATCACGATACAAAATGCATCTTTTCAGCGTTTCATATTTGTGTTTTTAAACACGTTTATTTTTACGACCGGCGAAAAAATCGCTTGAACGAAACGTGTTTTAAACTAAACGTCTTTAAAAATCGTGATTCTAGGGTGAAAAAGTGTCGATTGAACGCACCCATTACATTACATTCTCCAGCTCTGTCGGGATTCCCGTATTGTGTGGGAGCACTAATTAATGGCCTCTGGTGCTGATGTATTCACCGGATGGTCCAGGATTAGGACTGACATCAGGCGCGGATCTACGTGGCAATTTTTCCGGCCTGCCCCCCCCCCCCCCTAGCCCAAAAATCTGTTTTTAAAAATCGGATAATAACGTATATTTAACTTTTTTTAAAACGAAAACGCCCCCCCCCCACCAAAAAAAAAAATATATATTTTCGCCCACACCGAAAACAAATTAATGGTCCTCCTTTCCATCACCCCCTCCCCCTGCGTATTCACCGGCTGATGAATTGGCCCCCCCCCCCCCTCTTGTCGCCGACTGGATCCGCCCCTGACTGACATCGCCAGACTGAAGTAACTTGAGCTGAATATTTATAGATACTCGAAATGTCAAGTACTTACAGTGAATCTTCTTAGCTGCATGGTATCCTATATATTGCATTCAACAGTACAGAGTAGACTCGCAGTAACACAATGAGAGTGAAAAGGCAGAGTTTCAATGGCTCCAAGGGATCCCCAAACTACACGCACTGCTAAATTTTTAGTGGACCCCCCCCCCCTATACTCGATCATAAATTAAGAATTTGTTTGTAATAATTTTATTATGTGCAAAGTGTAATTGTAAAATTACCACCAAAAAAATTATGTATGAAAAATTGTAATACCTTTGTTTATCTTTCTGTTGGAAACGAAATAAATATGAATTGAATTGTGCTTCCATGCATCATTGCAGGCAGTCAATAGGTAGATAAGCTGTCCGTTCAAGCGGAGTGACCGTATGGTGACAATAATTATAGCTCCATACAGCACACATGACGGCTCACACATTTACTGTATAGCTCAAATCAAACGATGGATAAGAACAGATCTAGCAATATCTCATCAATAAAAGCAAGATGTAATTGCACATTTAGCTACAAGTATCCTTGCATATCACAAAATTATCTGTTACAATCAATAATAAAGAACTTAATATACATGGTAGAAAACTACACAGAGCTCAGAGAGCACAAAAAACAATGTCAACCACGCAGGGCCGGAAGGTATGCGACTTCTACTACTACCATTCCTTTCTACCCCGATATACTATTCTTACTCCGATGATACCATATACCTCCAAAGGCTCCAATACTATTAATACATTTACTAGATGAATATATATTACTCATATTACATGTATTACTATTCATTATACTCTCTATACAAGTTATACTACAGGTACATATATTTCCTCATAAATTACAGTATTGCTGGTATAGTTATATCTTAGGCTAAAATACCTCCATCCGGAATATAGAAGAAGTTCAAATACTGGCTGTATAGATATTGAGCCCATGTAAGTTGTGGCACTTGCGGCCCTCCATTCTCCATCTTCAAATAATCCGTCGTTTATCTTCTGTATACCGACTGAAGAAAGTATCACGAGCCGCTTTATTTATTGCTGTACACTACAGATATACAGTCAGGCCAAGATACACGCAGAGCTCGTATTGTGTCGGCCATACGGTCTATACACTATGAACATTACAGACAAAGAAAGCGGACAAAATATACAGTTCCTCAGGTAGACAAAGGAACATCCCTTCACTGCTATTAAAAAATGTGTAGAACAGGTGTCACATGCATATTCACCTTTTTACATAATGTAAAAAGGTGAATATGCATGTGACACCTGTTCTACACATTTTTACATAATAGCAGTGAAGGGATGTTCCTTTGTCTACCCGAGGAACTGTATATTTTGTCCGCTTCTTTGTCAGTCATGTTCATAGTGATAGCATCATAAACGTACGATAGCATGTCCCTGGTAAAACACCACCACTCCGTGACTGTAAACCAAGGAGCTTTAAGAGATGGAGTCGTATCGATCTAGCTCCAGTGGCGGATCCAGGGGGGGGGGGGGGGGGGGGGGGCCCTGGGCCCCCCCCCCCCCCTTGAGAAAAAAATCATGTACAATCACGCGATTTTTACCTTTTTGGGGGTTGGGGTCCCCCCCCCTGGCGCTCAAGGGGGGGGGGGGGGTACAAATTTTAAAATTTTCGAGGACCAAAAAAAATGTGCTCACTACCCCCCCCCCCCCCCCCCCCCCCCCTGAGCGACTTTTCGGCTGGTTGAGTCGTTGCGATTTTTTTGGGACTCCAAAAAAAAAAAAAAAAAGTGTCCGCTTATCTGGATCTTCCTTGCAGATACGTAGACAGAAGGTTCCTGCCTAGCTGCAAACTAACGGGCCACTTTCAAAGGGAAATATGCTTTTGTAATGATAATTACTTTTCGTTACCACTCGTCTGATAATACGAGCAGTACACAGTAAGAGGCAAGCGAAAAGAAATGGAGCAAAATTTCCTGAAATATTAATCAAAATTACTCGACTGTGCATAATTATGTGGGTACTAATCTGACATAATAACATCATAAATAACTGTACATTAACAAATTACATGAGCCGGAAATTATCGGAAAAGTGTCAAATTGCTGGTGCAATAAGGATTGTAATATTTTACTATTTTTTTACAAATTAAAACTGCTATTATACAATGTAAGCAAGTTTCTTGACACAATTAGGCTTTTGTATTCACATTTTATCATCTATTCGATTTCCCCCTTGTTGGTTAAAAAAAAAGTGAAAGATTAACGATATTCATTTGTGAACAAAATCACTACTCAAGCTTTCCAATGACATTGGCGGCTTCGAACCTCGGACATCAGGTAACAGAACGCATGTAGATTCTAGTGTGCAACCTTAGAAAACGGCAGCTACTTGGCATACTTGTTTGTCAGTTGGGACTCCAGCTCTTAAAACTCCTTGGTAAAACGGACAGATATTTAGAGATTATGTTACAGACATTCCATGCTTTGACTTCGTGTGATACTGGAAACTTCAACTGGCCTTGATTGGAAACATGTAAAGGATTTGCTGTCGTTCCAGTATGTGTGTTGCCATCCCGGCCCCGGCCCCCACTCAGATTTAGGGTACGTATATGCGTGTTCCAAGCGACCCCCCCCCTTTTCAGCAAAAGTCCGGTGTGTAAATTCAATACGGGTCGACCTTTTTTTTTGCTATGCGAGCCTTTTTCAGCACCCCTCCCCCCCCCCCCCCCCCCTTCAGAAAAAGTCCGGTGTGTAAAGTCAATACGGTTAGACCTTGGTTAGACCTTTTATTTTGTTACGAGTCGGTGAGTTTGGGAACACGCATGGTATCCCTCCGTTCACGGAGTGGGGGGCGGGTGGGGGCGGGGTTGCCATGTCTTTTTTTATTCCACGGGAAGTCACACACACTGGAGCACGTGATGCACTTTTGTGGGTCAATATATATTTTTGTTTAAAGAGATCTTTTAATTCTTTTCATAACAGGGAAGAGGAAAATTCTGCTTAGTGTACCTGGGTCTAGACATTGGAGGGGGCGGTCCTACGACCTTGAATGAAATGCAAAATCAGCTACCTATTATAGGATGCGGCATGACAATTTTTCTCTCCCTTATTATACATGTCCCTTTTGCAGCCAACGTCAAAGTCTGTAGAACTTAGCAGGAATTATGAATAAGTCATGTGAAATTTAAACGTTATAGTAGTGTCCTAATATTCAAGTTATGCAAGGAAACTCGTTTACCTTCCAGACTCCCTGTCAAATACTATTGAGTGACTCCCTGACATCTTTTTTCTTTGGTAATAGCATACATAAAAACGAGCTGTAACAGGTACATGAGCATTTGTCTACATCAATAAACCCACTACTTTTAATGGCCAAAATTAAATTGATTGAATCTTTGTGCAGCACAAAACGTTCGACCATTCGGTACAAGAGTCTGAAAATCATACTATTACTTATGTGCATAATAATCACTTATGTCTATTCGACAACTAATGATCGTCATTTGTTTTATACTATAGCATTACTATGTCCACACAATTATAAATCGAATGTTTCATGCATAGCATATGAACAGGGAGTCCCTTTAAAGCCTATCTGTACTAGTCTGAACAGGAGGGAATAGACCTCCCTGCGTGGTCAATGGCAAGTGGTTATCTCATCAAATCAGCTTTTTTCAGTTAAAGATAATATAATACAAAGTTTTTGTATGGGGTCATTGATTTGGTTCAAAGGAATTACATATTGGGAGCAAATGCGATCCTACAATATTCAGTGATCGTTGTCGCGGTTGAAATCGAGTCTAAAGTTATGAAATTGTAAATAATAAACTCTTTATGTTGTATAGCTCCCTGTCAAGGTCAATATAACAATAAAGCTATAATCATTGTCTTGACTAAAATCGACCGATTAGCTATTCCCGTTTTAGAAATTATATCACAACTACATATTCTGAGATTTTCATGGTCGCATCTACCATTGTAAGGCCGTAGGAGCTATTTGAAATTCATCAAAATTTACCGGAAGCACCGGTAAATTTTTATATTCAATTTTTCTCGAAAGCAGAAGTTTTTTATGGGCTAAATTTTCTAGTGCTTATAATACATCCACGTGCATGCAGGGGTATCCAAAAATATCAAAATTGTAAAGAATCACTACCCACCCAATTTTCATAATTTCACAAAACTTTGTATTACCTTTAAAGGTACTATGTCCCATTTGCAGGCCAAAAAAATGAAAAAGTTAAATTCCAACTGCATTTGAAAGATAATACTAATTTAGAACTTCCCTAAAAAAGGTGGGGCTTGAAAATGTCTTCAAGTGGGAAAATGACGCCTATTAGTTGTCAAATCGACTTTAGGGCTATAGAGCCCAAAAGTAATAGTCTTGATTTTCAGACAATTGTACCGAATGGTCATACGTTTTATGCTGCGCTAAGATTCAATCAGTTTAATCTTGGCCATCACAAGAAGTGGGTTATTGATGTAGACAAATGCTCATGTACCCTTTACAACTCTTTTCATGTATGTTATTACCAAAGAAGAAAAAAGCCAGTCAGTCACTCAATAGTGTCTGACAGTGAAGCCTAGCAAGTAAACGGGTTTCCTTGCATAATTTGAATATGAGGACACTGCTAATGTTTAAATTTTACAGATAGGACATACATGACATATTCATAATTCCTGCAAAGTTCTACAGCATTTGAGGTTGGCTGCAAAAGGGATATAGTACCTTTAATATAAGAGAAAGGGGACCATGTGGGATCGACGGATACCGCTTAGGCATTGTATATATTATATAGGGAGCAAGTAGCAACACGTTGTGCAGTCCCGCTTTAAAGGTAAAGACCAGTATTGGAAACGCCCCAATTTCAAAAAATGAAATGGAAGCTCTCATTACCAATCATGTGAAAGAATATGTTTTGACTAATACAATCATGATGATAAAAAATTTGCCGGGAAACCGCCTACTAATTCATATATTTGGTAAATTTGTTTCTCTCATGGTCTGTGAGAGATATAGGGTAGTCCCATATACATCTTTCTGTGTATAGTGCTTGTAACTTTACGAAGAATGGGCCAAATTTCTTATCATTTTGATGATTCCAGAACCTTGCATATGCTAGATGCTAGATGCTAGATGATCAACCTTTTCTGATCGATTCCACATCGTTTCTTTCACAATGCAATCGCATGACCATAACTGGTCTTTACCTTTAAAGTACTGTCTTCACATTACAATATTTTTCTTTCTAACATTGATATCCTGGAAATAAAATCAAACAAATAAGTTGTAATTATGTCTCAAATAAAGAGAGAGAGAGTATATATATATTATTTTTGACCTTCTCTCCCTATAACAAACGTTTGTATTATTATGAAATACACTAGATTCATATTACTGTTTTAATTTTAGCATCTCAATAATTTGCTTGAACTTCCGTGATTGCAATTTTCTCAAGAAACGTTTATGTTGTTATACCATCGTCATTACTTTAAATTAGAAGTTCCACTTACTTTTTACCATACTTCTCTAAATTTCGTTTTAGGTTTATAGGCAGCTTCTAGAGGTAAAGTATGTGACCAAAAAGGCGTTTATCCATTTTGTAAATCTACAATATATATATATATAGCAAATAAATTGTATAAGCTTCTGTAGACAACAAGAGAAAAATTAGAGAAAAGGAAACTGTTGATTCAACAACAACAAAATCGAGGAACCACAACAAAAGATAGAAAATACAAAATGGACAACGTAAAAAACCGACGACGAGGATGGGATTCGAACCCACGCGTGCAGAGCACAATGGATTAGCAGTCCATCGCCTTAACCACTCGGCCACCTCGTCTGATATGCACATTTTGTCAAATAATTAAAGGGTTTGTAGTGTGTGAACGGCGCTATTCAACATCAGATTATGTTCTGTGCATTATCTCATTTTGACCTTTGTACAACAACCTTTTCGTTTTATCATCTTTTCATGTTAAGAATTTGTTTGTAATAATGTTATTATGTGCAAAGTGTATTTGTATAATTACCAAGAATTTTTTTTATGAAAAAAATGTAATACCTTTGTTTATCTTTCTGTTGGAAACGAAATAAATATGAATTGAATTGTGCTTCCATACATTGCAGGCAGTCAATCCGTTTATGAGCGACGTATTATGTGCAACATTGTTCAT